TGCTGCCACTGCTGCTTTGGTTGCTCCTTCAGCTTCTGCCGAGGATTATGGATTTTTCTGTGCCACATATACATACATATGAATCGGGGTGTGGGCGGTATAGCGCTGATGTGGGATGGATACCCTGATGGCAGGCCATCAATTTAGCTGCTGAGGCCGCCGAGCCTGCAATGATGACGATGACGATGATGACCATGATGATGATCATTATGATGTTTGTCTGTTGGTTTGTCTGGCCCTTCGTCTTCTCCTCTGCCCATTATCAAAGCCCAGGCCCAAGCCCAAGCCCCATCACCATCCCCTCGCTCCAACATCCTGGTGTGCTACAATTTCCTTTCACTTGACTGACACCCAAAAGCTTCGTCCTCGCTCGCCGCACTCAAGGATTGTATAACATGTAGGCGAAAGGCAGCCAGCAGTTTTTCCTTCTTTTATTTTCTTTTCTTTTTTTTCTTATTTTTCCCAGGTGAGGGGATGCGCGCGGGGGGTGCACTTCCACTTCCGGCGCACTGTCAGTCAGTGCATCCTTGGCTGTACATGTGTGTGTGTGCTGTGTGTGTGTTTGAGCCTGTTTTGCGCTTTCCCGCTTTCCACTTGACTTGGCTCCTCTGACTCTTGCTCTTTCGCTGCCTTCTCAAAGTTTTAGCACCGCAACTTCAATTGACCTTTGCTTTCCCCACAGCCCACCGCCCACAGCCCACAACCCGCCCATCTGCTCTTTTGGCCCCTTTCCTCTTCAGTTCATCTTCACCCACTGACTTTCTTTCGTTTTAAGTTATTCACCAACACGTACGCTTTAACGTCATCGTCATGCCTTAGCCATCAACATGATTTCCTCGCCCGATTTTCCCGCCCGCTCCAAGTTTCCATCTCCACCCGTCCCCCTCCCATTGGCTTATGCCACCACGTCGGCAGTTATGGCCTCTTAAACTCTTTGAGCCTGGGCTGGCTAATTGTCCTTATGTGACTTGGATACGCTTATCTGGCCAACTGAGGATACACGGGAGTCGTCTGCTCTGCTCGTCCGCACCTGGCGAGCTAAAGGCTTTATCCTGCATCCCCGTTTTAAACGGCCTCTCGGTGTACTGCAAAAAAAGTTTAGCTAAATAGTACATGCATTATTATATTACTTAAAATATATGTTGAAGTAAATTATATTATCATTTTGATCTTAGGAAATGAAAATGTGAAATGTGAAATGAAGAGGTGCAGGACTTGCAATCGATATCCTTTCGCTTTTCCCTGTGTACGCTCCATATTTTGTGCAGCATACTGGCAGGCGCATTTCGTCCTGTTTGGCAGAGGTTTGGCTCGGCGCTTTCGCTGTGTCAGCGTTTATCGCTCGCCTTGGGGTCTGCTCTTTATTGTTTTTGGCAAGGACGCTTACTTATACACACACACACACACAGGCAAGGATGCAGGCTGCGCACCTGCAACTATAATGCGATACAGTAGCAGCACGGTAGGGAAAACTCGGTTCGTTCTTATCTTTTTTCGGCGTATGCTTCTCGGTTGTCCGTCCCTTGTGGGCAGTTTAGGTTTAAAATAGTTCCAACGCCTTTGGAGTCCTTTCCCCGCACGCCTTCCTTCCGGTTTCGGTTCCTGTTACGGTTTTTACCACTTGCCCCTCCTTCTCCCTTTCCCTTTAATTTCCTTCCCTTTTTCTCTGGCTTTTCCTACGTTTTTCTTGCCACAGTTGTGTGTTGGCTTCATTTCCCCCTCCCGTTTTTTTTTCTTGCTACTTCGTCGTATCTGTGCCAAGTGAAGCGCGCGCCCACGTTGCCGTTTTATAGGTCAAACTTGCACTCTCTTCAGCAACTGCTTTACGTCGACTTTCCCACAGCCCCGCCCACTTTTTCACTCTCGCCCACCGCCCACTTTTCCCCGCTCTCCCCCAGCCAACTGCTACTGGCTACGCAGTCTGGTTATTCAATAGTTTGGTGCTCACTAATTGCATTGCCCTAATTGCCCAAGTTACGCTTGAAATGTGCCAAAATCGGACGTAAAAACGAACTGAAAATTCCGAACAGCTAGCTAAATGTTTTTTTAATCCCTGCGATATCAAATATTGAACAGCAGATTGTTAACGCATTGCGAATTATTTCTCCATTCTCACTGTTGCTATAAATGGGTTGTATCGATATTCATCTTTTCCTTGTCCTTATATATAACCAATTATTATTTACTGTAGTAAAGTATAAAAATATTAAATTAAGTATGCTCATGGAATTTTCTTAACATTTAATCTCTGTTGAAATCCTTCATTTCCACTTATGCAATATGAAACGCTTTGTTTGACAAGGATCCTTTTACTTAATTCTATAGTTTTTTGTGTGTAGCTTTTTCCCCATTCCTTTCAAATGCTAGCATAGCTGCGGCTTTTTCAAAATTTCGTAATTAGACGCGATTTGAAACCCTCTGGGGACGTAAAATTCTCTGGCTGTATCCCTATTGTTCAGAGCATATCTCGCATCAAAATCGCTGAGCATACAGCAGTCGCATCGCAGTCGTGGCACAAACTCTTTCCTCTTTTGGTAATATAAAATTCTTTGACGGTTCCTGTTTCCATTGGCATTACTCGCGCAATTTTCGCACGTGGAATTTTGCAATATTGTTGAGCACGAGAACGAGCACCTCAACTGACTGGCTGACTGACGGAATGACTGAGTAACTGACAGCCCTGTGGGTGGATGACTGGATGGCTGGATGAACGGATGCATAGATGTTGGCTGTGGGTGGGGATTGTGTGAGAGTTTTGAGCTGGCGGCTGCTGTTGATTAAATTCCATTGATATCGCCGGCGTTGTCATGCTGCGAACCGAGTAGCTCCACTCCGTGATTTTCCGGCTGACCTCAGTTGCTTCAGTTGCTGCCACTGGTGTTGCTGTCGCTATTCCGCTGTTGCCATGGCCGGGAGTAATGAAGATTTTAATAATTCAGCTGCTGCTCTCGGCCACTGCTCGGTATTTTCTCTTTGTCACCGCCTTACTATCCTGCCATCATTAATTCTGCTAATGCGCAGGAATAAAGTTCTCAAAAATAATTTCATAATATTGTAAATAATTAAGAGCCGCACATAAATCACGAGCAGTCGCCCTGTGGCCCATCTCGGCTCATCATGAATCATGTCAGGGGCACTTAGCCATCGGCAAATCAGTTCTCGCCCCACCCACTTTATGCTGGCCACATCCGCTCGAGAGGCCAAGAAAATCTATGGCAAAGCTTTTAGTTTTTCAAAATTTTCTTTCGCCCAAAAGCCAATACAGCATGTATTTATAATTCGCCAGACGGAACAGACTGTATGTATGTACTCCTATATTCTTGCGTACAAACGTCATTCGATTTTGTTTTTCTCATATCTTAAAATATATGTCTTCTTCAATTTTGGAACAGTGACGCGTTTTAATGAGCGGAAGATATATCTGTTAGTTGGCTTTGCATTTATGCATATGTACGGATTTAGTTTTAATTGCGCCTAGGAGAATTTATTGCCATGATTTATACAGGCACTTATATTTCGTTAATTTATTTGTTTGAGATACGGAAAATGGGTCGAAATAGAGCCATACAATCACGTGTTGCCAACAACTTTCCCACACAGTCCATTAAATAGATATCTCATACGTGCATCCGACTTTCTGTGTACATATATGTATGCACATACGTACACAACCTACAAATATCTTTAAATCGATCGGGAAGTCGGACGTACAATTGAAATGCCTCGCATAGCACAACTTCAACGCGAACGCAAACGACAACAATTTTGACATTTTCATTGTTAATGAAAATTTAATTATGTTTTCATTGCTGTGTGTGCGTGTGTGTGTGCGCCAATCGAAATCCGCCCGTACACACTCGGATTGCCGGACAGTCGGCGGCTATCAGACCGCCGGACAGTTGTCAATTCTACGGGGCGGTGGTGGGCGGTGGGCGTGGAGCTCTCAGAGATAAATGCCCGCCGATAAGCGACCAGCACGGCGGGCAATGGAGCGCGTCGCCCATCATCGATGAGCCAGATACGGATACCACCACGGATTGAGATACAAATGACGATATGGCCAGGGATACCTACATGCTATATGGCTACTCGGGACTTAATACTACTTGCATACGAATATGGGGCCAGCAAACATGCGACGCCCAGAACATGCAAACATCATCTACAACAAGCCCCCTCCCCCATCCACCCCATCTACACACAACTAAATGAAATGTTTGACGAAGGCTGCGAATATGTATTCAACTCGAACTCAAATAAGTGCATGTAGAGTTTCCTCGATCGGAATTATAATGGGCAGCTCATAGCAACACGTATGATTTTCAAAGTGCACAGCGAGAAAATTGTGGTCAGCTAATTGGTTTTGTTGGTGTGATTTCCATATCAAAATGCCTGCTAAAAAATCTAGTTTGCAAGTGAATTCACGGATGTTCCTCTTATATGTATAATTAAACTGCAAGGAACTATTATAATAATATATTCCTATGTGCACTTGCCTCTCGTGTGGCCCAAAAAATTGTTCAAACCGTGTTGTTGACAAGGCAAGTTTATTGTTGCTGCTGCGGCTGTGATGTTGCTGCTGCTGCGGCTGCTGTTGCTGCGGCTGCTGCTGCTGCGACTTCTGCTGCTGCTGTTAAAATTAAACTCTCTGTGCTATTTAGTTGTCTCGCCGCCGCTTCTGAAGGTGAATTTATGGTGCACACATGGTGCCCGACGACTACTACCTCTAGTTTTCGCTGCCCGTGTATGGGTGCGTATCTGTGAGCGTGAGCCTGCCTGCGCAGAGTTTTCCTCGTGTGACATATGTCGGCTGTGCCAGAAATAGATTCGTTTCGAAATGTAGGGGGCAATTCTTTCCGTTTTTTTCTGTTTTTCTTTTTCCGAGATTCAAATGCTCTCTTTTATAACTCGATTCGTTTTGTGCTTGCCATGTGGCTGATTATTTTAATGGTTTATTAATGAGCTCAACTAATTTTGCATTGATTATTTGCCTTTTCCAGTTATCAAGAATCAGCAAGAAGCGCACATCCAACTGTATACATGCGTGCTACAAGAAAATCAGTGAAAGCCATCTCAATAGTCCCAGCCGCCGCATAATAATCGCCATCCGATCCGATCCGATCCGATCCAGATCTCCCGATTCGATAATTGAGTTGATATAATCCAATCTCCGCCGTACCAAAAACGAAACAAATCGCAAACTCACCGGAGCCGCTCGATCCCCAGCGAACGGCAGCGACAATAAGTTTTTTGGCCAGCGCGCACCTCCAATCTCCAGCAACAGCCTCAAGATTCTGCCATTCGGAGCACCCAACTTTCGTCTGGAGACGACACCCGCAGAGATGCACAAGATCGCAGCAGCGCCGCCTCCATCGGCCACGCCCGGCGGAGGACTGGATACGCCCCTGGCGGCGCCCAAATATGGCACATTAATACCCAATCGCATCTTTGTGGGCGGCATCAGGTGAGTTATGCTCTTCAAGGAGCTGCCCCTCACTGTCCTCCGATACCCGGAAGCCTTAAAAATTCCTTAGTTCCAGGGGGAAAATGTTTATTACATTTTTTCTCTGCGAAACATTTCCAAGAATGCAAATGGAATTGCTAAGGGATAAACTGATAACAACTTTAAGCCTGTATATGCTGGTATTAATTAAGCCAAGATTGATTACCAAATCATTTTATCATTAAAGTTGTTGTGCTAAAAGAAAACTTGTCAGTAGACCCAACTAATCCAGTTCCTTCCCTACTCAGCGGCGATACCACCGAGGCCGATCTGACCCGCGTCTTCAGCGCCTACGGCACGGTAAAGAGCACCAAGATCATCGTGGATCGGGCTGGAGTGAGCAAGGGCTATGGATTCGTCACCTTCGAGACGGAGCAGGAGGCGCAAAGACTGCAGGCGGATGTAAGTAGTACTCCAATGACCTTGCTAATGTCGCCTGTTGAACGTTTACCAACAAACAAAAAAAAGAAACAAAAAAGAAATGCCAGTATTATAATTTTAATGAAGCGAGCGTAAACATCACCAACAACCTACGAACGATTGAACGAACCAACCAAACCCAAACTCATATAATAGAGCTCTTTCGCTTAATAGATTGTCGCGTTTCGAAATGGATATGAATGATATGTACGCAAATCACACACAACTTAAAATTGTGCTCCGATCTTTTAGGGCATTACCTGACCCATCACACACAAGTACTACTACTATGAGACGTCGGTTCCTCCTACTACTACCGATACCACTACTACTACTACTTCTACTACTACTACTACTACCACTACCAACACTCCCCGCGGGGGGGTCCCCACATAAGAAATACCTCATATGATTGTCGCCATATGTGCGATATATGATATATGATATATGATGATCAGATGTACCGCCTTAGGTACGGACGGCACTTTGTTCTTTTATAAATTTCTTCTTATTGCGTTTTTGTTGAGTTTACGTTTCCGAGTTACGTTACATTTCCGTTGCGTTGCCATTCCGTTACGTTACATTCGATTCCGTTGCGTTCCTTATATCGTTTCATTGCCAGAAACCAAAAAAAAAAAAAAAATTACACAAATTACACATTCTTATAATACACACCCAACACCCAACACCCACACCACTCACCCACCCAGTTATATAACCCCACATTACCACTTTCCCAAGCGTAGGCAGCCCCCATTTCCTCCTATATATTTCTGTGATATCCCACACCCACACGTATCCACCATCCTATTGATATAATACCGAAGTTTGCCCGTTAAGCTAAAACCAAAAAAATCAAATGCAAATGCAAACAAATGTTGAGTTCGTTGCACCGTTTTTAATGCTCATTTTATGCAATCAATTAAACAATTAGCGAATTTTGCTCTTTTGGCTCCGTTACACTGGAGCGCGGTCTCCATAGACTTTTAATAGACTAGACTATATAGACAATACCTTAGTGCGTTGCCTTGTTGCCTTTGATTCTCGTTTGATATCCAAGTCTTGAGTTTTCCGTTTTGAGTTATATTTTCGTGTAAAGTTGCATTGTTGGCACATCTTTTCCGTTCATGCCTAATTTGCTGATTACAAATCGATTGTGTATTGCACATTTTTCCAATTGCGGAATAATTAACGAACCAACAGCAGCAGCAGTAATAATAATAATAATCCAATTCCAATCCCCCAGCAAAGTAAGTGCGCGGCGTAAAAGTTCCTAGGGAATACACTATATGTATATATATATATATATATATATCTATCTATCGAAGCCATACTTAGCAGTCCAATCACCTGCTCCCCAGGGCAACCCACGCTCTCTCTTTCAGTTTAAACAGATGCACTGGGCGAAATGCAAAGTAGGAAAGGGTATATATCTATACAGGAAATAATGTAATTTCGTTTTTTTCAAATAACTTGTTCTTATATTTAAGCCTACTAATATGCAACTTCTGGTTATGTACTGATTTTTTTTCACGGTGCAGCAATTGCCACTCGTTTCTTGACTATATAGAGTAAAGATCTGGGCTAGGTTCACCTCGCACCATAAACAGTTCTGCCTCCAGGTGGCTCATTACAAAATGAACTTGTCTGCCATATTTTGTTTTGGCATACTAATTGATTATAATTATTGCATAAGCACTGGCCTGCGAGTGATGCAACTTTTACCCATTTCTGGGATAAATTCCCATTTACCTTTTGACCCTCCACCGCGATACTGGCGATGCTATGGTATACTATATAGAGGCTGAAGCTTCCGCCGTGCTCTGTGGCATATTAAGTGAAAAACTTTTGCCGCTCGTCATTAATATGCATTGTTGTCGTTCTGGCTGTGTTGTTCCACCTCTTGTTGCCACTGCTGCAGCTACTGCTGCTGCTTCTGGTGGTGCTGCTGGTGCTGCTGGTGCTGGTGGTGCTGCCCCAGACTGGGGCACGAGTGTCCTTGTGAATGCAAAAGGGAGTGAGCGGAATGCAGAGAGCATAATGCCCGCAGGCAGAACAAGGATAACAACGACCATACTCTATGCAAAAGGCAAAGGCAAAAGCTGAAACGGGCACACAGAGGCAACGTCAACAACAATAAAAACAAGTCCTGGCAACGTTTAACCAAGTTTTATAATTCACACACACACACACACCAATGCACGCACGCACACCACCCCAGCGAGAGAGGAGACAACACACATTACACTAATTAAATTTCATTTAGAAAAGTTTAGCATTTAGTTCGAGTTTTTTGTCGACCACGAACTCATCAAAAGCCGCAGCGTTCAACAAAAAGGTCAAACTGGGACCACCACAATCCCGAAAACACATTCCCAAGTGGAGAGTAAAATATACTCGTATATCATATCAGTCCACAGAAACCAAAGCCGCCCACACTGCGTATACTAATTTTTGTGTATATGTTCTATGATGGCCAACTAATCCTGCCCATTCGAAACCATTGTCACCTCATACATGCATAAATACGCAACACAAATACATAGATTAGTGCAAATTGAAATGGGTCCCTAAAATGAGCTCGAAACGCACATTTCAAATGTATGAGATTTGTCTATACTCTGCTCCACTCTTCAGGAGGAGAAGAGTGGACTCTTCAATTTTAAATCACTTTAGAGTGGAGCGCACAGTTTTGTTGTCCTTTTTGTGTGCTGTGTGCTGAAACAAAAGGACACACCGCCATCAACGCCGTAAAAGCCAGCCCAGCAAAAAGGATTCTTAATTAAATTCAGCCAAGACAAGAGGTGGTTAAGAATGGTGTGGAGGTTGGGGGGTGGGCCTCCTTTGCAGGGCTCCTTTTTGCCATACGTTTCATCTTTAGTTTACTTTCTCAACTGTTGGCCCTTTGTTAGGGTCCTTATGCCTATGTCGCTGGCCGAGGACGATGGCTCGAGGGCGGCCAACTCGAACATAAATGAAAAGAATGTTTGCCCAGCGGCGGTCAGAAAAGGATACGGCGGCTCAGGTTTTTCCGTGCCTCTCTCCGCTCAGCTCCTCTTGTCTCGCCTCGCTTCCCTTTTCATTTTCCACGTTATTTTTCCGCATTTTTTATTTTTTTTTTAACGACAAAGTAGCAGCATCTCTTCGTGGCCCGCAAACATTTGCTTAGGTTAATGGTTATTACCGCTGCCAAGAGGGGTCACCACTCAAAAACGCCACTCCCCGGCCGACTTCCTCAAGGAGTCTGGGCTTATCTCTTTGTGGCATCGTGTCCTTTTCATGCATTTCATGCGCAAATCACAAGGGTATCAGCCGGGACTAATTGGCAATTAAAGATGAACTGGCTGCCAGACGGCCAGTTTGCCAGTCGGCCAGCTTTCCATCTGCGTTAGTAGTTTTTTTCCGCCGCAGGAAAAGGTATTAAATGTAAATTGGCTGGTTTATTGGATCGAAGAGATGCTAAATGCATTTTTAAAAAGGGTATTTTTTCGAGAAAAAATGAACTTGTGGAAAAGTTTCTTTATAAAAGGCTTTGTAAGGGAGGCTAACGATATTTTAAGCTACTGACCTTTTTTTTCCTTTCTGTGACTTTACAATACTATTTATATACACTTAACTTGGTTTTGGTGTTACATTATTATTGGTTTCACAGTTTAATTGTTTGTTATTGTATTAAATTGAATATGCAGTAGCAAACACGAAACGAGAGAAGAAACGAAACAATAAGCAAGCTTTATATTCCAAATTGAATTTTGTTCTTTTAACAATGCTTTTGTGCCTTTTCAGTTTTTATACATTTTTTAAATGAGTTCATTATTCTGGTTAATTAATTTTTGTGTTTATGTTTGTTGATTAAAATAAACATGTTGTTGAATTTTGTGCCGCGTATATGAAAATGAATATGAAAATTACGGAAACAATGAGAGCAATAAGTTGGCCATTGGATTTGCTTTTGAAGCCAAATTTAAAACCACAGCAAAAACAGCGCAAGTCTAGTAATGCAACATATGTACATGACATTTTGTAATAAACCTTACCTAATTTAATCACACACACACACAACACTACACCCCACAGTATGAACATTTACACCTATATACTTTATATATATATATATAACTTCGGTAATGGTATTTTGCCTTGGCACGTGTTTCTCTCTCTTAGCCATGGCCGTGCCATAAAAAGCAAAAAATGAACAGAAGATTTAAATAATAATACAAAAAAAGACACAATATAAAACCAAAAGCGTTGCGCATTAATTTTTAACTATTTTTTGAGAATTTTTGATGCTGCTGCGTTCGATTTGAATTTGAATTTCTTCGTTCGGCTTGTGTGTTGATAATGCAATATTGTGATATTAATGTTCTCCTATTTATGCTCTCTCTCTCTGTCTTTCTCTTCCATCTCTCTCTGGCCTAAAAACAGGGTGAATGCGTGGTACTACGTGATCGCAAACTGAACATTGCACCGGCCATCAAAAAGCAGGTGAGTGCTACCACTTCGGTGTGAGTGCAATAAACTAATAATGAATGGCTTTATCCTAGCCCAATCCTCTGCAGTCAATTGTGGCCACAAATGGAGCCGTCTACTATACCACCACGCCGCCGGCACCGATCAGCAATATACCCATGGATCAGTTCGCAGCCGCTGTATATCCGCCAGGTGAGTTTTGATCGTTCTGGTGAGCGATTCCATTTCGAAAGTATATTAATGTATTAATCTGTGCGTTTTGATGGGTCTTCATCGTTTATCTGAGTTTCACTTGGTTTTATTGACATTTGTTTTTCTTTTCTTTGTATTTCATTGCGCTCTCTTTCTCTCTAAACTCGAATACACTTCATCAACACCAACAACTACAACCAAACACCACCACCATCAATTGGGAAACAATTAACCAAACCTAGTTACTGACTTTACAGCCGCTGGAGTGCCAGCCATCTACCCACCTTCAGCCATGCAATATCAGCCATTCTATCAGTACTACAGTGTGCCAATGGTGAGTGCGATTCGGTGCGATGCAGATAAGGTCAAAATAATGCCACTGATAATGAATCATATATATTCGCCATGAATTCAGGCGTATAACTGGTTTTTAACAATTTTGTGTGATTTAATATGATAATCCATGGCAATTTTCAGTGCTATTAATTTGACCACATCTCTGTAGCAAATATAGCAAGTATCTGTACAATACTTATTCTCAAATCTTCCCTTGCAGAATGTACCCACCATTTGGCCTCAGAATTACCAAGGTGAGTTGCATTGAGCCCAGCCTCATAGTATTTTGTATCTCGCTGGCCATTTTGTCGTTTGTCGTAGCCTACACATATCGGTATTTGCTTTCTTTTCTTTCATTTTTTCTTGGCGCACCACCACCACCACCACCAACTACAACAACAATGACAACAATCAAAAATCAACTACCACCAAAATAGGTTAAATCCAAAAAAGAAAAACATAAACTAAACAAATTTTCGTAGTCGCCAATTTTTCGTTGAGAGCTGCCCTGAATAATAAAATCATACCAACAACTAAACTGCAACAACTACAACTGCAACGACAACAACAACAAACAACAACCATCTGCGACAACAACAACTACAACTACAACAACAATACCACGCTATATGCTATATATGCCCCTCAACTCTGATCGAACTGCAGCAGCAGCCGCACTCTTAGCTTATAATTTTTAGTTGATTACGATTATTTTAATATGCCTATGGTTTAATTTAATTTATGCTAAGTTTGGAGCTTTAGTTTTGGCCACACACACACACAAAAATATGTATGTACATGTAATGTAAATTAGTTGAATGCCATAGCGAGGGAAAAACTAAATTTATATTATTTAATCTTCGATTTCTTTTGATTGGACAACAATTTTTTTTTCGGTTTTGCTTGCTGTATATAGCAGAGAATGAATGTAAATAGTAGTAGTTGGCACAATCACTTTGCTTATACAAGTATATAACAAATACCGATATAAATCATATAAATCCCTAGGTACAGATATATGTATGAAGTTTTTGCCAAAAAAAAACATTTTTTTCGATTATTTTGTAGGAATTTATCCATGTTAACTTTGAGGATGCTACAGCTACAGCAGCAAAAGTGATGCTACTACTACTACTACTACCAAAACAACAACAACAACAAACATGCAACAAAGAGCCACAGCAACAAAAGTAAACTACAAAGCATAAATAGAATTTATATAAACTCAGACACAGAAATACACGCACCACAGCTGCAATTTCGGAAATGTTTAGTCAAAGGAAATCGTATATTGAAGGTAGAAGCGCTCTGGAAGGACACTCACCCACACAAGCACACACACCCACACACATACACGCATACATATGTAGAGCGCAGGGAAACCATTGCAAAATGCTGTAAAGTAAGCTGCTTATGTTATTAGGGATGTGGCGAGTGAAGGAGTGTGAGTGAGTGTAATGAGTGATGGGGGATAAAATTTTTGGTAGACGAAACATTTATGATGTGCAATTAGCGGTGGAGCGCAGGGGAGGGGAAGCGGGTAAAGGGGCTATAACCATAGGGACGTCGACATAACTGCAGTGTGTGTGTGTGTGTATGTGTGTGTGTGGAAAGTCAACAAGTGAAAGACAGAAAAATATATGTGGAGGCAAGAGAGGAGAACTTAAAACCATATTTAAGCTATGCTATATAGGAAACATCATGCTAAACATACAGAACTGGATTATACAGATGCAGCAGATGTGGAAAGCACTCACTCAAGCCAACAAACACCCATACATACGCACACACACTCACACACGCGCGCGTGCAGGACGAACACACTTATAAATATACTATATAGGGAATAAACAAGTAAAATTGCATAACACACACATACTATATATGGTAGCTAAGAAAGCGGGGCAGCGATCGAAGATTAAAGACATAATATTATGCATAAATTAATTTATATACATATATACAATACATATAAAGCGTAAAGTAACTGTAACTCGTAACTGTAACTGTAACTGTCCCACACAGACACATACAGCAATACAAAGCAAAAAGATGAATAAGCAAAGGAGACGACAAAGTCAAGCAGCAAAGCAAGCACACACTAAAACACTTACACACACACACACACGCACACAAACACACGCACACAAACACACGCAGACGCACACACGCACGAGTCCTGAGCGGAAAGTCAAGGATAACTTATGAAAATTATGAAGTTCCCTTAACTTTCCGATCAGAATTCGTTTAAAAGGTAAAGAAAACCTAACTTGTAAGCCAAGCAAAAGAAAACTGAACGAAATTTTAGTCTACAAGAAAATACTAATGGAGGAAAAGTAAAAATCATGAAATCTAGCCACATAAGCCAAGCAAAAAGTGAACTAAATACAAAAAAAAAACAAAAACAAAACACTACAATAAAGATATTCAAAATATGCTAGCTAAAAAGGCGAAAAACATACACACACAACTCCCGACTATTATAAACGGGAGGCATATATTAGAGAGACTATTAAAGGAAAGCTAAACTCAAAGCTCTAGCGAAAAGAAAATAGATACAAAAAAACTCAAGCAATACATAGACACTCATAGGTGTGTGTTACACAAGAATATAGTTAAATATATACGAAAAGCAAGCAAACGTAAAATAAAATAATAATTTAATAAAACTAATGTACAAGCAAAAATCAAGCAAAACAAGCTCTGCGAAAATGTTGATTTATAATTTCTGTTTTTTCTACACTCACTTAAGATTCTGTTGTATCTATTGTTATGATGATGGCATCAAAACTAATCAAAAACACGAACGAGAAAAGCGCGATGTGTTAACCAAAATTATTTAAAGTAATGCGAACGCGATGGCCAAAACATTTGCGGGGGCAGCCGGCGATCTGCGAGCGAATTCCATTCAAAATTGGTGCATAATTTGGCTGAAATATGAAAATTCGAGATAAATATTTACATATACGTATATGCCTTATTGAACGAAACTAAATTATTTGCCCACTTAATACTGTTATCGTATTGTAATAAACCAACCCAGAGGTTTCAAAAATACCTGCTAAAACAGATGTCGCCGAGGTCGCCCACATTCACATCCCAAAAAGAAAACAACCAAAAAATAAAATTGGTCGAGACTCGCTGCCGCCGCAAATGGATTTCGCTGCGAAGTTGTTGACAAATTTTTACTAAATTGTTAAATAGTTAAATACAAAACATTTTTAAATCGAATTGTAACAATAATTAGACATGAAAAAATTACTCTTTGTTGAAACGAAGCAACACAAAATGTAATGTAATGAAATGGAAAGCAATAATTCACTTAGGCATGCTCTAGTTAAAAACTAAAACTGAAATCAAGTCGAAGAAGCAACATAGAAACCACCAACCAACCAAGAGTACTTACATGTATGTCAGTCAATAGGGATTTTATTTAGTTCGAAGGCCCGGATTATCCAGTTGAATACAAATTGCTGGGTGGAATGTGAGTGACAAGGCCTAATTTCGAAATGAGTTCTTCATTCATTCATTCACTCTTTTCAACCAGCCATCGCCATCCCAGCAATTTAATCTTCCGCAGACTAATCGCAAACAGAACAGATCATAACTAATAAATCCAAGGCATAACTTAAGTATATACGTGATATTTTGAAAGCGAAAATTCATAAATAAATTGTTTAGGTTTAAAACAATATTAAATATATTATACAGATATATACATATATACATTATAACGATAATGCCAAGGCATAATTAAAACCATAACGATTAATTAATTAAAGAACGAATGAACATTTTTGCTGACAAACAAAAAAAACAAACAAAGGAAAACCAAAAGAAAAACAAACAAAAGCAAATGCAAATGCAACTGAGAGGAGTAAGATGTTTGTAAACTCAATTTATTGTACGACTTGAATGAAGGAGAGCGAAAAGAAGTTCTTAAGTTTTTACTGAACAGCAGCAAAGAGCAGAGAGCAGATTGTCCCATCGTAAAAATCTATTTAGTTTATATATAGTGAATATTTATATTATATATACATATATTAAATGAACAAATGGCAAGTAACAAACAACCAACAAAAATGAAATAGCAATTAGACGAACGTAAAAGGAAAGTGAAAAGTTATATATATACAATACATATATATCATAGCGCAAAGAATAATATATATATATATACATATATATATATATTTTAATGAAGGAACATCAACTGATTAAGTGCAGCTCAACTAAGAGCACAACATGTTTTTAGACTAAGTACCTACCTACCTAAATGAATTCAGCAATTGCATAATATACAAGAGAGGCGAGAACGCTGAAAATGCGCCAGGCCCAGAGAAGGGACATAAGATTCTACTTCTACGGCGTCCAATTTGTATAATTATATATACGTGCATATATTACGAGGATAATGCCCCATGATCATCACAACACAACAACAAATTTAAACAAAAACGAAGCATATTTAACCACATACAACAACCACACCCACACACACACACTATACTACCTATATAAATATAGAAATGAGAAAGAGGAAAAGAACGCATAAATAGCAATAACAATAAAGCAACAGCTACTTAATAATTTTAGCAAAATGCAAAAAAAAATGAATAGCAAAATATTTGGTTTGCGTTTATTTCTTTTTCCCCCCTCCCGTTTGTTTTTCAGTTGGTAATTACATTTGACTCTTACTGCGTTCTTTTAATATATCTCGAGTGTGCATCTTCCTTTTTCCTTTCCCTTTCCCCCTCTCAGATTTGTAATTCAGGGCACCATATATACATATATATTTTATACAGAAAACCAATCGCCATTGCTGCACTCGCCGTCGACGAACCCACATTCACCGCACTCCCAATCGCCGCACTCCCAGTCGCATCCCCAATCCCCATGCTGGGGCATCGAGGATCTGAGGGATACTTTGCCCAGGGTATAGCTTCGGATTGGCGGATTATCGGCGGGCATAGCAGCAGAGGCTGGACCAAAACTTTCACATTTCATAGAGGGCGCTGCGGCGGAGAGGGCACACCACAGAACTCAGCATAGAAGACGCAGTTCTTTAGTAAAAATCAAAATCGGAATATATGGGAGGAGACGGGACGGGACGGGACGGGACCGGAGATCCTTTCCTGGGGCAAAGGATCTGAAGGACCTGATACTACGAACCGCCGATGTCTGATCCTGGCGACCAAAACCACCTTTTGTTTTTAGTTGTTTTTATTGTTTGTTACTTTCAAATTTCACCCCACCAACGCCACCAACGCCACCACCGCCATCGATGCCATCACCACCACCCCAGCAAAATATTTTGTTGCTTGCCACCCCAACGGGGAGTTCACTTCTCGTTCCAGAGTTCAGATTGTTATTAGTTTTTTCGTTCTTTTGTTATCAAAGTTGTTTGTTGCCGGGCATCGAATGGTGTGTGAGCAAGTGAGCAAGAGAAAAAAACAGATGAAAAAAAGAGCGAAGGAGAGTGTAGGAAAGGGTTAATATTAGCAAGCGGAATGATGAACCCTATCATCATCATCATCATCAACGTCGTTTCCCATCACATGTGACCCACACATCCAAACCCGAACCGAACCGAAGCGTAACCGAAGCATATCCAAAACTTCTTCAAAATCGGGAACTCCCGTGGGAACACCCCCAGTTAATACCGCAACATCATAACCAACCGCAAGAATCCGCAGCTATATTATCGCCCGATCCGAGCTCATGGCCCTAAAGCAAGCGTTTTGACCATTGGACATTAGCATTGCAAAATGTTTTGGGCTCTGTTCTTTTTCGGACTATTATATCGATTAGATCAGTTTATTTATTTTTTCCAAATTAAACCAGTTCATCGTTAAGGCTTAGGTTTTCCTTTTTTTGAAATGTTTCGAATCCAATGTATTATCAAAATTTGTTTCAGTTTCTGTGTGTAATGAATTGATTCCAAATTATTATTGAAGTATTAATGTTCCGATTTAAATTCAGCTTACCGTATGTCATTCCTTGAAGAAAATAAAAAGGAGCCCAAAACAAAAACCAAACTTTGTTTATTTTATATCGTTATATAGTTTCAATTTTTTCTTACCTTTTTCCGTTCTTCCTCATTATGTGTAGCATAATTTTTAGGTGCTGCGAAATACAAAAAGCAACGAATCTTTCAGTAGCATGGCAGTCGAAAAGCTAATCGTTAGGCAGAAATAAAAAAAATGATAAAATAGTTGAATTAAACGGTTGTGTCAAATTAGCTCTAATCTCAAAGTGGAAACCCAAAAAGATATCGAGGAAAGGCGGTAATTTATTAGGACTAAACTTGTCTAAACTCTAAATGTAGTTCAATTACGATTGATTTGCTAAGCTCGCTCGTCTTTGAATCCTATCTCTCACTACCGTGTGTAAACTTTAATCTTCCCGAATGCGATCAACCAAAGTAATAATAATCTATATAGGAGGCATACAAAACACATACACTTAGGCGATGGTTAGTATATGCGAAAATATATACATATATAGAAATGTACAAGAACAATATCTCGATGGCGTCTCAACACGAATATAATACGGTTATCGGATACCAAGTTATAATATTTATGAATGGGCAGATGAAAAAGGGGAAAGCCGAACATTTTTACATAAGAAAATGCATTTTTTAACAAACGTCTACGTGTGAATTGAATAAACCCTATGTGTGTATACACGCATATATTATATACATTTTATTAAATATATACATATATATATATATATATTATATATATATTTATATGTATGTATATGTATATGTAAAGCCGAGCATCAATTTTTTATAACAAGAAGCGGCCCGAGGAAGCGAAAGATAAAAACCCGATTCATGAGAGCAGCTGAAATCAACTGCCCAGTGGGCATTCGTGCTTCGAGGCTTCACTGTGCTCCGTGTGTGCGCGTTAAAACGTTTTTGAAGTAAAATTTAATTTACACAAGACTGACGCTAAAAAATAACTAAGAATATTAAAAGTGTACTAACCGTTTACGAATTTTTCAAATGCCACACACGGAGTAAGTGGAGGTCAGAGGTCAAGGGGCCCACGGAGGATGCAGGATGCAGAATGGAGGACTTGTTGGGGGCACCGCTTTGTATATGGTTATATTATATTGTACTTAAAATGGAAAACCTGAGATATATATTATATATATTTATATTTACAATAAAGAAAAAACCAAGCGTAAAACTAATGCAAAAATACAAAAGGCATAATTTATGAACAATTAAATGAAGCGAAATGAAATTAATGGTAAATAACAAAATATACAGTGTTATTTTTATTTTTATGATATTGTACCTACATTAGTAACGTAACAAAGTAACGGCGCAGCAATAATAACTAAATTAATTAGCAACCAGAACTAGGCAAAATAAAAAATACCCCACAAGAAAATGTGATGAATATTGTATAAAACAAATTGAAAGTCCCATTATCCCGGAAGACAAGATATCTGAGTTTCGGTCGATCATTATTTGGCAGAGTAATAGAATCGCTAGACGAGATCTCCCTGAATCGGACGAGCCTATGGAATACAATAAACGTGCAACGAACTCTTTTAGATTTATCGAGGATTTACCTTAACGACACATAGGTGCATTACGTAGTTCTCGAACCGAGGTGTTTGGATTATTGTTGTATTTATTAGCAATCATTACACCCGCATTACCGAAATTTGTTTTTGGTCATTGTTGTCAGCAAAAGTATCTTTTAAATTACGATTTCTAACATATACAGAGCAAAATTTCTAGAGCGAGATCTCGATGTAGAGGCAAAACATGGCAAATGGTGAAAAGCAAGCAAAACGACAACAAGAGCAAAACAAATCGGTTTTTCTATCAATGTTGAATGGCGAATGTGTAGGAAATATTTAACCATATATACAACAAATATAAATTGTAGCTAAAATGGTTTCATGTAAACGAAATTGTTGAGTATTTTTAGTCACGAAAGAGAATCGAAGTAAATAACACACAACCCAAGTGACCGACAGACAGACAAATTGAAGAATTTACAATAAAATTGTGCAATTTTTACGCAGTTTCCCTGGATTTTCCACTGATTTAGTAGTCCATCTTGTTACCACAGATATTTGCACAGAATTTCGTTTCTTGCCTTCTGCTGACAAACTGTCCATTGCGCCTCTTCCACTCGTTTAATTTCCTTACCCTAAAAAGCCGAAATTCTGTTGCAGAATATATAGAAATTAAATTTAAAATTAATTCAAAGTGCAAGTTGCACATTGTGAGAATCTGTGCTGAAGCCGATGCAGGATAAATAAATACACTTGTGTAAAGGATAACGACGCCGCGATACAGATACCAATACACCTATGTTAAGCCAATTAAAGCGCCCATGAATGTGCTATAAAGCGAAAGATAGGATTACCACAGAAATACATAGCAATGATTAGCTGAAACGTAATGAAGAAATACTAGACAAATTATACTTTTAGCTAAAATCAAGTGGAACTATGAAATTGTATCCAAATTCTTCCGTAAAAGAAAACACATTTCTAGCAAACAATTTACCATACATAAGAGTCGAATATACATATACTATACTGAGCAGCATAAAAGTAGAGTCAAGGATATACGTAAATCGGATACACAAATATAGATACGCCCGAAATCCAGAAAAAAATACAGATCAAGCAATTGCAGCCCACTAAGGAAATGATATCAGCATGGAAAAGTGAGATTTAAGATGGATAGATGGCATAGATGGAGTATGGATTAGGATTAGCGATAGCAAAGGGCACGATTATTAGAGGAAAAATCCAACTGATCTCTACTGTGTTCTATGCTTTAGAGAGGACATACGAAAATAAGCAAAGTAAATTTAACTTGAAAAACCAAAGTATTACCATTTTGAGCTGCAATATTTTTTAATCAAAAACCAAATGAAGATGATGGATTTAATAATAGTAAAATACAAAGATAATAATTAATACATATTTTTCTCTTTTGAGATAAACCAAACGGAAACTGTTTTCACGTGAATTGAGTTAGGCAACAAATAAACGAGGTCATAAAATAACATAACATATTTCAAGAATGTATCAAAACCAAAGCTAGCTAAGAAAATGCACAAAGTTTTGTGTGTATTTTTCGGTTTTTATTCATGTGTGTAAATCTTCCGTGTGCAAAAAAAAGAAATATGAAAAAAGAAGCAAACCAGAACTACACTACACTACAAAAGCAAAGCCAGACACTAAGCCCAACTGAAATTGTCAAATATAAATTAATATATGAGGTCTATATGAGTATATATTTAGATAACAATTATATTATATATATACATATATATTATATACATACTGTGTGCAAATTATTCAGATCCATCAAAATACGATGCGGAAAAGTCTCTATATATATTTAGTAAAATTAAAACGAATGCGAATGAAATATGAAAAATGAAAAATGAATACGTAGTACAACGGCAAGCGAAATAAAAAGTATAAAGCAAAAACATATAAGAAAACACAAAATTTGAGAAAACGGAAAATTAAAAAAATCTATGAATAGCATATAAAAATAATTATTTATAAAGGCTGTAATTTTAAGTAAAAAAGATCAACCCGATAAACATAATAAATCTCAAAAATAAAACACAACAAAAAAAACGAAAACCAAACAAAAAATTTAACATAAACATATTTCACCCACAAAGCAAATTAAATTAACTAAAACCAAATGTAAACAAAACGCGAGAATATACTATAAAACATAAGTAAGAACGATATCTAAAAACGAAATTATAAAGCTAAACGAAAAAAAAATTATATAAAGTAATTACATACAACCAAAGGAAGTAAAGCATAAACATAAAACCCCAAATATTATATATATACGAGAACTCAATGTATGTAATAAATATAAAACTAATTAATAAAATCTTAAAAATGGAATAAACCGAAGGAATGAATTGGGCTTTCATTTGGAACTCATAACACTGATCATTCGATGAATTTGTGATTTAGATTTGGATTTGGGTCATTGCTTCTGGATGACTGATGACTGATGACGCATTTGGCAGACCTCCGTCAGACTTCAGACGAGAAAAACGAAAAATATTCTCTTATCTACGCGCTAGAATGCATTTATTTAATCTTTGCCTTTTCTTTTTTTTATATATAGTATATAACGCCAAGGTACAGAAAAAGTCGTAGCGCCAGTTTGGTTCAGATTCGATTAACTCTAATTAGCACGATAAGAACTATCGCTTTGGAAAATACTCTATATGATAAATACAAAGTGCACAAAAAAAATTACATATGTCTAGTGCGACATTAGGAACATGTCAAGGTCGGAACTAAAACTATCCAACAGCCTAATCACGGATATAGCTGCGATCGGTGTTCTGCATCCGTACACTCTGCGGCGCCTTCTGGGTGCGATCGAAGTTCTGCAGCTTGTTGGTCTTCAGCATCCGGGGATTGGGTCCGGCGGAGGTGCGCCAGTAGACCGTCTGCACCGCATTTCGTCCGGCAATGTAACGCGTAGTCGCTCCAATCAAATGGTTCACCTTGGTGGCAGACATCTTGGGGTTCTTCGTTTGGTATCACAGTTGGGTTGCTTTTGCTATAGAGTCGGCTCTATAATTGTGTGTTCAAATATGGATCCGTACGATCATTGGGGCGCTCGTTTCGTTTCTGTGGCCTCACTTGGCTCCGGATCCAGTATTTATAGCGATGCCTTATCAGCACTTTTATACTGGCGTATGTACGGCCATTATCTTGCAAGTAGTTGTGGCTTATCAGGTGTTACTCAAAAGGGTTGCCAATTGGCCTTTACTTGCTGGCTATGCAACCGAATGCAAGCCGAAGTGCGACGCACTTTTGGCCGGATTGGTCCGGATTGTTTTGTTTTCTCCCATTGCCTCGTGTCTAGACTTGTATCCGTAACCGAAATGGAGAAGTTGCCTTCATAGCACTTCCCAAGTGCGAACCAAAGTCCAAAGACTGATCTCTACGGCTGTGTCATTATTGCACAATTAATCAGATACCCCTCAGGGCATGACGTAAATCCTATTAAAAAGTGTGTACAGTCGAGCATGTGCCACTGGAACTGACCTAATTAGAAACTTGAATCCACTTGCAATGCCTCCGGGAAAGCTTCCATTACTAGATTAACTAAAACAGCACACATTTGGAATAGTTGCACAATTAAATGAGCAATTATGAATGCATTTATTGAGGATGCACTATGGTTTTCTCGAGCTGCAGCTCAGATTATCTATATCATAATATAATAATATCTGATATCTCTCTCCGGCTAGACATGCTGATAATGCACCTGATGCTTTGTTGTCTAAATTAATCTCATAATAAAATGTGTGCTCTAGGTCATGGGTTCCGCTTGATTGGAGCTCTTCTGTAAACGATTTTCTAGCATATATACATTAGCCTATTTAGAACACAAGCTCTCCAGCTGATTGCCCAGTGGGACCGAACTTTAAGATATGCTCCATCAGCTGCGGTCTTCTGTAATACATGCTATCATGAGCACTCTACGTGTGCGACGAGCTCTTATCAGTTTTTGTGAGTCGGCGACTGCCTGTGAATTATTATTATTTTGAAAACAAAACGTCAAGCTGGCACACGGTCTATGACTGCAATCAGGCGTTGTAAAATCCGGCAGAAAGTGTGCGGGTGATGTGAATCGTTAAGTCGACAATAACAAAAAACCATAACAACCAATACGCACACTTCAAGTTCAAGTGCGACTCAGAATCAGCGGGGGCCTTGCAATCTAGCCCTTATCTAGCCCTAGCATGCTTGCGCTTGAAGAACCAATGCATTCGCTGGCTGAAAAAAAAAATTAATCATCGCGATCAGGGGGAATATTTTGTGCCGAAACTTTTCCACGAAATCGTGGAGAGCTTGTTTTCTTTTTACGAGTGTGTCCAGACTTTTTAGTATTTCCTTTGGGCTTCTTTTCTGCCTGATAAGCGAGTTTGTTCCCATTTCTGCTAATCAACAAGAAACAAAAAATAGCTAGAAAAAAGAAATGTTTATAAATAAAGTAATCGCCAGACTATTGCACTTCGGCTTTTAAGATCCCCGTGAAATCGCGTGAGTATCAAAAGCTATCGACCTGATTTTATGATCTTTGGGGTTCCCTAACTTTTTTATTCCGAAACAAAACACCTGATTATACCGTTGCCGAGGACTGATAAGGATCATCTGTCCGTTTTTCGGTAAGTGCTGATAGTGTAAAAACGGAACGTTAACAGCCTAATCTGAATGGCAAGTGGCATTGGCATCCGATGTGTGTGACTGTGTCACCATGGCGTATGAGTAATTTATATGTATTAATTTCGGCAGTACATTTCGGTTGCCTACTTTTGGGGCTTGCAGATCCATATGAAGTGAACGTTGCAGCAATATTAACCGAATTTGTTCCGGAATTAGTGGTACCGAAATTCCAATTAGCTGGTGGAGATCCCCGCTAATTGAATTAAGCAAACACTTAACGCCTACAACTAGCCAACGGCTAATGCCCACTTAAGTCAGCCCTGTCTTATTCGTAATTGACTTTAATTGACGAGACGAGCAATTAAAACGTAGGCAATGTGAGTAGTTAGTTTTCGGGGAGCGCACTCGCCGATCTCTCTTGTGTATTGCTTAAGAAAATTATACATAAATTAACGTAATATGGCTGGACTCATTAAATACGCCGGCTGCACTTCGGCGATCTGGCGATCTGACGATCCCCTCCAGCTCACTGGCCACGCCCCCAGGCCAAGCGTGCCACCAGCAAAAGAGCTAAGAGGGCGTAGAGGCTGCCGCCCAACCGCCCACATCCGTTGCACACCTTGCGAATGGTCTCCGTGTAGAGTCCACGGCGGGAAAGCAGGTTCCGGATGCTACGCAGCTCCTGGAAAATCGGGAAAATGGTCAATTAGTTTTAATGGCAATGTATATGATGCTACAATCCTACTTCTTGTTATTACCATGTACTTAGCTTTGTTAGCAATGTAACCTCCATTCACCTCTTAATATACACTTGCTTATCACTAACAACATTTACTAAATAAGCTATTTGCATGTTATTACCTGACGCAGGCGAAGGAATATACGTCATTAAATACATTAAATACCGATTGTAAATAAACAAATATTAATCTTTCTTTAGAAGCAAACAAATTGTACTACAAATAAAGCGGTCTGTTCTTCAATGAAAACATTCCATTTCAAAAAAAAATTAAAAAAAGGAACTTACTCACATTCCATTATCTCAAAAAGAAATAAAAAAATGAATTTACAGAATGTGTGTCTCCAAAAGAAATTAAAAAATGAATTTACTCACATTCCATTATCTCCAAAAAAAATTAAAAATGAATTTACTCACATTCCATTATCTCAAAAAGAAATTAAAAAATTAATTTACACACATTCTATTGTCTCCAAAAGAAATTAAAAAATGAATTTACTCACATTCCATTACCTCAAAAAAAAATGTAAAAATGAATTTACTCCCATTCCATTAGCTCAAAAAAAATGTAAAAATGAATTTACTCACATTCCATTATCTCCAAAAAAATGTAAAAATGAATTTACTCACATTCCATTATCTCCAAATGAAATTAAAAAATGAATTTACTCACATTCCATGATATTGGAATAAAAAAATGAATTTACTCACATCTGAGCTGAGACCAAGGCGATTGCGGGTGAGAACCACTGTGTATATGGAGCTCTTCACATCGTTGCCGCAGAAGGTCAGCACCAGGTGATCGTTGACCGCTTTCACCACCTGGACGGTGCCCGTGAACTGGGTGTAGCTGTTCAGGGTGACCAGGGATCCTCGCTGCTCCCCAATGTTCGACCAATGGCCAGGTGCACTGGAGGTGTAGTTAAAGGTGTACTCCAGGTTGTTGTCGCGCTCGCTCCAGATCAAGCGGAGATACTTCTGCTGGCGCTGATTGGATCTGGACTGGTACTCATCGCTGTCCAGATAAGAGGATTGGGTGGTGGTGGTGCGTCCATAGTTGTTCTGATTCCGGTTGTAGTCCGGATTTCCATAGCCATAGCCGCGATTTGCCTGGCTCAAACGAATCTGTAATATTTGACATGATTACAATCAGTACACAGATGTATTGCGTTTCGTTTGGAACTGACCATATCCGTGGCATCGGCTAGATGGATGATGACACATGAGTCATACTCGTATGTGCCCGGAAAGTCTTGGCTGTGCACGATGATCTCGCTGCCGTACCAGAGGCCCATTATCTGTATGTGCAGAGAGGTTATTACACACACGTATGGGAGGTTGCGAATGGGGTCATTTGTGCGATTTGCATGCCACTCGCTGTGCGTTCAATTAAATGCCCACAATGAACAAAAAAAAATAAACGAACAGGGCTCAGTTGTGTACAGCATTGACATTGGGTGAACTGAGGGCGCAAAGGGTTAATTAGAACAAATCGACCATAATTGCATTAGCCAGCAATTAGCCTTCGTATTCAAATAAGCTTACATATTTTCAAATTGGCTGTAGCTGATACTTCCTGACCCTCGAGGATATTATCCAGCCGCTTAGCTTACCTGTTCCAAGTCCACCGAGTGCTGCGGATTGATGTTCATGCAGCGCAACTCGGCATTACTCTTTTCCGTGGTGGTGATGGGTGAACCACCATACATCCCAAACTGATCAACTGCAGTTCCCGCAATCGACCCCCAAAAAAGGCCAAAGATCGCGACGTATATCAAGGATTTGGTCCACATTTCGGAAAAGCGCCTCTGTTTCTACCGATAAGCCACGAATGCGGTCTGTTCCAGATGAAATCTCCCAATCAACTAACAGAGAATCCCAACGTGTGGACCGCAGATCGCACTCAGAGAGACTCAAATGCCCCCAGGAACCGCCCGTGCGCACTCTTTCTTTCGCTCAAAAAAATGCTGCCACACAAAAAAAAATTATTTTAAATATCTCTAAAGAATTAAAAAAAAAAACTATTTAAAGAAGGTATTGTAAATAATGTTTTTCTAACATATCAAAAAAAAAGGTAGTGACATATTTGAAATAAAGTTGGGATTGCTCACCATTCTTGGGTGAATATATTTCCGTTTCCGGAACTTTTGTTTTGCCAAGTGTAATACATATACATTTTAAATCTTACAACTATTGCCACACCGACGGCGTGCTAATCAAAATCATTCGAAGGCATTTCAGTGAAAGGTGTACCCAAACTTTCTCAGTGCATTGTGGCAAATTGTTGTATTAATTAAGTTAATTGTAGCGCTTTCCGAGCCGATCATCCAATCGCGCGTGCAACGCCCGCACAATGCGAACTGGGCGCGTAAAGAGCACCGTTCCGCCCGCGCGGATCGACCCTTCTCCTAGCCACCGGGTGCTCCCCTTTGACCCCTCCATCTGCTGTGGTGTCAATTGAGTGCGTGTTCCGCTCCTCCGGTCGGACCCTCAATTGATCGTGGAAAAGTGGAACGGAGCAGCCAGGAGGAGTACTCGGTGAGAACCGAGTGAGTCCAGTGGAACTCTCTGCTGAGTATGAAACGTGGGGGCATGAGTCAAAATAACATTGCGGACTTGTGAATTAAATCATTGTCGTCGATGTTGTTTGTTGTGAGCACGACGTTGTATCCCCGGCTAAAACTCGCATTGTTGTTGTGCGTTTTATTAGCATTGATTATGGATTTAATTCACTTCTCTGCGTGAGCAAATAAATGACGAGTACCGGCTGCAGTCGCTAATGGGTAGATGTAAGTTGGAGTCTTTACATTTTTCTTTAGATTTTACCAACTTTCTTGCATGCTCTGGTACTTCAAGTTAGTTGCTGTTTCTAAAAAGTCAGCTTTATTTGCAAATTCACTACGAGATTCTTATAAAATAGTAGTCATGTAACAAGGTTAGGACATGTGCTCCCTAAAAGCGCAGCAAGCTCTCATTGATCTTCTCGTAGATCCAATCGATATAGTGGTTGACACGGACATAGACACCCGGCCTGTTCCTGAAGCCGCAGTGCTGACCCCACGAAATAAGGCCGTACAAAGTCTCGCCATCTGAAAATATACATTTTGGAACAATAGTACATGTCTCGCAACAAGTGTAACCTATTCATACCGTCATCGGAGCAGACCAGTGGACCGCCAGAGTCACCTTCACAGGCATCCACACTCTCGTCCATGGAGCCAGCACAGAACATGCCTGAAACAAGGTGGAACATGGGGGTTAATTCCCGCACAAACTAGTTTACGCTCATAACACATCTGCCTATGGTTCATTAACCAAATGAAACTCAAGTGGTACACACCTTCCGACATTGCTGATCCATACACATTAGATTGCTTGCACACGTGATCGCCCAAAATGGGTAGCTCGGCAGATCCCAAAACTAGCGCAGGAGCTAAAAAAATAGCATTGGGAATCATATTAATGGGTGCTCAGAATCGCTATCTAGTAAACTACTCACTGGACACTCCCGATTTAATAGAACCCCATCCGGAAATGGTGCACTTGCGGTCCGGGACGAGCGCGGCATTCTTATCCGGCAGGCAAATGGGCTGGACATAGTCACTGAACTTCAGAGGAGTCTTCAACACCACCAGCGCAATATCGTTATTCATATGTGTTCCCTTGCGGAAGTTCTCGTGTATGTACCAGTTCTCAATGAACGCATCCTCCTCGGAGGACTCGGCTATGTTGGCATAGTGATCTCCGACACGAACGAAGTATGCTCCCTTTGGACTTCCGTACAGACAGTGAGCAGCGGTGAGGAGATGGCGCTTGGAAATGACCACAGCTCCACACCAGTGGCTGGAGATGCCTCCACGTCCGCGGGTCCTTATGGTAGCTTGCCAGGGATGGCGACCCCTCTGTGCCACATTTCCTCTGACCACGCGCTCCTCTCGGTGGGCGTACTCATCGGTCAGGTCGTCCTTGAAGATTCCGCATCGACGAGGTGTATGTACGGCCTTGCTCGATCGTTCCCACAGCCCGATTTGTGAATAGGTTCTGGGCGTGCTCTCCCCTCCTAGAGATCTACCGCCTTTAATTTGAGTCTGGGAATGCTTCTGACTGCGAGGTGGTGGCCCGGCGGTGCAGTGCAGCGCCACGTCTTCGGTGTGATTGCAATTGTGCTCGCCCCAGTTCCAGTGGTTACATTGGTCAATGCTGGTCTCGTTGCCAAAGCACATCACCTGATCGAGCCAAATGGGTCCGTTGCCGTTGCCAAATATGTTCTTCTCTATTTTCTGGGTGTTAAAGAAACCAGTTATGACTATGCATATGCAAATTTAAGATTGCTTAATACCGCTGGTCCAAAGAAGCCCATTGAGTTGCAGGCAACTTGGGCAGACTTGATGTTGAAGTCATCATCACATACACTGCCCCACACGCCATGGTGTTTCACCTCCAGGCGGCCTTCGTTTGAATTGCGACCTCCCTCTAAACGGTACTGAACGGGAGCCTGAAGGTATATGGATAAGGATTGCATTATAGAACATGGGCAAACTTTCAATTAACCCACCTGACAGACGGCGGCACACTCATCCGACTTATCCGCACAGTCTGGGGTATTGTCGCACACAAAGGCTGGTGGAATACATTCCTTGGAGGTGTGGCACAGCCAGTAGTTATTTGGACACTTCATCACCGGAACCTTGCAGGTCACACCCGCCACTTCATCAACGCCGCAGTTGTGAACGCCCCAACCTTTGAAGGAGCACTGGCTCAGTTGGGTTTCATTGCCTTGGCACTCGACCTCATCCATCAAGTAGTTGAAATCCTGGTTTGGGGGCGCATAAAAAGAGCTACCACGCACTTCTTGGGCGCCCATCTTGAAGCCAAGTTCACGGCAAACGACATCTGCATCCTTTAAGCCAAACTTGTCATCGCACACATAGCCCCATTGACCATTAGCTGGATAGGATTTGGGGATCATTTCATGTTAGTATGATGCTGTACTACAATTTCTGGCAGCCACTCACCCTTGACTTCGATGCGGCCCATGTTTGGACTCTCGCCCCCTGACAAACGCACCTCGTAGTCCGATGGCGGGCAGTTCGCCTCATCTTTGCCATTTGGGCAGTGTTTCTGCCCATCGCAAACCTGCTCCTTCACCAGGCACTGGCCATTGCCGCAATCGAAATCGCATTGGCTATCGAAGCCAACGGCTGAACGGGTGGCTAACTTGGGAGTCACTTCCTCAGCATCGGGATTGGACAGCAGCGCGTAGTCTTCTTTTGGATTCTGGTGTGGCGGAGTTTCATCCTTTTGTGGAAATGGGTTGGGCAGCTCCGGATGACGATGATGGTAGTCAGCACTGTGTGCATGGGGGTGACGGTGGTGGTGTTGGTGTTGGTGGGGAGAGGAATTGGGATGGTGCTCGGAGAACGGATCGGGTAAATTTGGGTGACGCCGGTGGTAGTCACGACTGTGACCGGGCGCAAGCCAATTACTTTTCATTGTAGTTGTGGTTGGGTAGGCGTCCGGATCTAATTCAGCCCTGCGGGTGCTCCGTTGAAAGTCTGTCGAGGCGTACGTGGTACTGGGATCTAGGGTCTGCTCGGTTCGGGACGTCTCCCTGGCATCTGGAAAAACATAGTCGTCGTCAACGGAGTCCAGGCTTTCCTGTTCACCCGCCTTAATCAGCTCGGCGTCAAAGTCAAGGTCTGTTTTACTGGTCGAGGAAGTGCTTTTGGTTGGTCTTGGTGTGGTGCTGGGCGGCTTACTAATCATGGACACTATGGCTGATTCAGCCTGCTGGGCCAGTTGCTCTTGGGCATTACCACTGTGATTGAAATAGGGACGCAGCATAAGCTTGAGGGCTTCTTTAATAGCCGCTTGGGAGTTGGGAACTGAGGCAGATCGATCTTGACTTAAACTTGGTATGGTCGTCTGGGGACTATAGAACTTATGGTCGAAGGGAGGAGGCACCAATACATTTCTGGCTGTCGTGGTCGTGAAGTCGTCATCGTCGTAGAACGGTTCCTCCAATTCAGGATTGAAGGGATCGGGATCTTGAGCTGGAGTTGTGCTAGTCACAGACACTTTGGGCCAAGAGGCGTTTTGAGAGTGGGCGATTCCTGCATAAGAGGGACTATAGTGGGGTTGCAAGGGATTTTGGAGAGGGATCTTATTATCCACAGGTGGATAAATGGGAAATGTGTGCAGTCGGTTAGCCAATTGCGGTGTTGGAGCCTGGGAAGATGAAGGGTTCGGAGGTGGCGATGGTTTTGTGTTAACCGGGGCATCTGGCTTGGGAGGCAAGAGTCCGCCGTAAAGATTGGAGTCATTATACAAAGGAAAGCCAGGGTTAGGGCTATGTCGGGGGGGAGCACTTGATCCTGGGGGCTTATTGTCAAAAGGCAGGGGTTTTTGCTGGTCTGGAAAACCACTGGAGTCAGGGCTGGACTCAACTGGCTGCTGTCTAGCAACTGGCTTTGAGCCACTGGGCAACTGATCTGGGTAAAAGCGTGGTGGCGATCCCGGATCCGGATAGGGCTGCAGTCCGTTGTAAGGATATTGGGGTTTCTGTTCCTCATCATAGTCCAAGTCAATGGGTTTCTGTCCGGGCAGACTGTCTTGGGGTTCCTTGGCACCAGGAGAATGGGGAGAATAATCTAGATCTAATGGTTGCTGTGGTGGTATGGGTTTCCATCCGTTGCCAGGCGAGCCATAATCAATTCTACGACTATAGTTCTGGCGCGACGGCACATGTTCGGGTTGGCCATAGTGGACACCTTCTGTATTGGTGGGTGCCATGGGGGCCATTGGAGTCTTATATGTAGGATAATTACGGTTCGGCTCCAGCGATCCCTCCACATATAGAGTACTCTGTGCAGGCCCGCGCTGGACGTAGGATGTCTGCTGGCCAGACCAATCCGTATTGTATCCGTGGTGATGGTTATGCGGGTTTTGTTCCACACCTACGCCTGAAGGTCGCTGCATGTTCATATCGGTCCAACGGTCTCCGATTACCCGCGTTGTGGTGGTAGTTCTGGTTGTATATCGATTGCCGAACTGATCTCTGCCAGATGTCTCATAGGACTTGGATTGGATGGGATTGCCTGCAAGCAGAGAGGGGAATCTTAAAAAGGGCGAGACTTAAGCCAAGGGTTAGTAACCATTAGAGGGAGCCATCCAACCGGAATTAACCCCCCGAACCAAATAGTCGGTGCGATCGTGGCTGGGCAGCTTATCATCCAGCACGCACACTCTACGAGAAACGCTGAATATCTGTTGGCTCGGACAGTCGTGCATCTCCGCCTGGCCAGGTCCGCACCGTAGGTACTTGGTGGGCAGCCGCGGATGTGGCAGGGTTCCGGTTATTCCTTCGGGACAGGCAGTGACTGCGCCATCTATCATCATTTTCTGTGTCCAATCGAAAATGATGTGCAGTTCATTGATCGTGTACAGACGATCCTCACGTTGCACCTGGTCAACGGGCTTACAGAATCCATGGGAGATACTGTAGTGTTGTTCACCCGGGCAGTTTAGTAATTTCATTCCGCTCGGGCCACAGCTCAGGTACTTTGAGCAATCGAACGGATACACAAAGAAACCAACGAAATCTCTGGGACATTCCAAAGCTGCAAGGAAAAGTTTAGGCACACAAAACATAGAGTCCGCAGTTGTTCACTCACAATTATCCTGATAAGTTTGCGGTCTTTCAAACGGCACGCGATCCGTTTTGGGTACGTGCTGCTCGGGCAAACAGTAGCTTTGGGATACACTGAACATATCGAGGGGCTGACATTGTCTAGGTAACGTATGGCCATCGATGCAGGTCAGATAGCCTGTAGCGTCGAAGGGATTTGGAAAGAGGCCGCTCACCTTTTCTGGGCACAGCAGAGGAGTTGGAATAGCATTGGGCGGGACTTGCCCGGGATAACGCCCAGAACCTGTTGATTGGAGGGGTGGCTGGTAGCCACCAGTTGGTTGGTGTGGTGGCTGATATCCACTATTTTCTTGAGATGGTGGCTGGTAACCCCAATCTCTGTCCACGGGTGGCTGATAGCCTCCGTTTGGCTGAGAGGGTGGCTGGTAGCCTCCGTTTGGCTGAGAAGGTGGCTGGTAGCCTCCATTTAACTGGGAAGGTGGCTGGTAGCCTCGATTGCCTTGCTCAGGTGGTTGGTACCCTCCATTTAACTGAGAAGGTGTCTGGTATCCTGTGTTGGTTTCCGAAGGTGGATGGTAACCTCCATTTGGTTCGAAAGACGACTGGTATCCTCTGTTGAATTGAGAAGGTGGCTGGTAACCATATGAGGATTGATTGGGTTGATTGTAACCTCCATTAAGTTGATTGTGCGGCTGGTAGCCTCCTTTAACTGAATAGGGTGGCTGGACACCTCCAATAGTTGGCAACGGGTTGTGGTAATCTTCATATGTTCGATTAGGCTGCTGGAAGCCTCCAAACGGTTGAGAAGGTGGTTGGTAACCTCCATAGGCTGGTAAAGGTGGCTGGTATCCTCCATTTGATTGAACTGCTGATTGATTGGGTTGGTGGCTGTAGCCTCCATTAGCTTGGTAGGGTGGTTGGTAGCCTCCATTAGGTTGGTGGGGTGGCTGGTAGCCTCCATTAGCTTGGGGTGGCTGGTAGCCTCCATTAGCTTGGGGTGGTTGGTAGCCTCCATTAGCTTGGGGTGGTTGGTAACCTCCATTAGCTTGGGGTGGTTGGTAACCTCCTCTAGCTTGGTAGGGTGGTTGGTAACCTCCATTGTTTTGAGAAGGCGCCGGGTATCCGCCACTTGAACTATAAGGTGCGGGACTCTTTCCAGGTGGCTGATGGCCTCCGTTAAGGGAGTCCTGTTCTGTCTGCTCCTCTTCCTCATCCCCCTCGTGACTTAACTCATGCGGCGTATCTTCCAAATACTCGACACGATCATAGGCTTCGGTAATCTTATCCCTAGCCACACACTTTTGCTGGGATATGCTAAATGCATCACCTTGCTTACAACTTTCTACACGAGTTTGCCTATCCCAGCACACTATATATTTGGTGCAATCGAAAGGATGTAGGTAATAGCCCTGGGCTTGCGGAGGACAGGACAACGTTGTGGGGTCCTGAATAGGGTCGACTGCGAATGGGAAGGATCACGTAGTATGCTGGTTTATGAAAGATGGTTTTACGCAAAGTCTTACTCGAGATTTGTACACTGATGTAGGCATAGTCCAGGTAGTCATGGGGAGAGAGGAGCTGTCGGCCTACACACTGGCGTTGGGACAAACTGTATAGAGCTGTTGGCGGACAACTCGCAATCTGTAAATGCCCACCTTGGCACTTCACAAAGTGACCGGCATGGAAGGGATAGGGGTAGTTTCCACGAAGCACGGGTGGACACTCTTTTAGTGGCGCCTGATGAAGCTGAATATCCTGACTGTTATCCGGTGTCTGGATCTGCAATTCCTCCCGGAACCTTACGCGATCTTCACTTGTCACCAGACGACTTGGCCGGCATGCTCGCTGGGATAAGCTGAAGGCCATTTGACTTTCGCAACTTTGAATGGTCATCTTGCCGCCCTCAGAGCAGCGTACATATTTGCCGGCGTCGTAGGGATAAGGATGTAGGCCGTCGGTGCCGCCCGGACAGGAGGACAGTATCATAGCTGATAGATTTAGGTGTTGTAAACATGCATTTAGGCTAGCAATCCCATGAGGAACTTACTCAGATCGATGCTGATAACAGAGACTTTATACGTCACATAGTCGCTGTAAGCCAACTGGGACTTGGGCTGGCAATTACTCTTGGATATGCTAAACACATATCCAGACGGACAGCTTTGAACCGCCAATTTACCAGCCTGGCAAAGGAGGAACTTTGTTTGGTCGAAGGGATGAACAAATTGACCGTTCACTTCGAGGGGACACAATATATCTACCGGGAGCTCTGGAGGTGGGTGAGAAGGGTCTATAAGAGGTTTAGTCATTATATCTTAATCTAAAAGGGCAAGCAGAGAATGGATAGCAAAATGGAAAACCAAGCCCGATGTAAAGCAGCAGGTGAATAAGAGGAAGTGGACAAGTACATCCGTAGAGATCCACTCACGCGATGACTCTGTTGGTGGGAAAGTATCCAATGGTTTCGTTGGGTAAGTAGTTCCTTTGTTTTGCTGTGTAAATGGGGTTTGTCCAGGCGCTGAACTTCTTCCAGTGCAGTCCACCTGACTGGCGTAATCGCAACTATTTTTGTCTGTACTGAAAGCTGTGCCCGGACCACAGTCCATTACAAAGGTTTGCCCATTTGCACATTGCAAGAACTTCGTGCAATCAAATGGATGGGCATGATTGCCAGAGGCTCCAGGTGGGCAGGATATGTCACCGGTTTTCCCGGAGCTCTTTTCGGCCTCCGGACCATCTGTCTGGTAAGTCGTAACAGTCGTAGTTTCAATTAAATATTCGACATGATCGCTGGGTCCTTTACACTGTTCCTTGGGTACGCATTTCTGATTGGAGAAACTAAATATCTCTCCCGGTGTACAGCTCTCAATGAAGGTCTGCTGATTCCAGCACCTGACATACTTGGTGCAATCAAAGGGATGCAGGTAGAGTCCCTGGGCTTGTGGTGGACAAGTAAGCGTCGAACGATCCACCATAAATTCAGCTGCGAAAGTAAAAGGGCTTTCAAATCAGGTCAATCCGAAATAAGACTCCTGAGATGCTTACTGGAAAGTTCAGCACTGATATAGGCGTAATCCAAATAATCATGGGCAGCGAGGAGGCGACGAGGCGCACATTGCCGCTGGGAGAGGCTGTAAAGCTGTCCAGTGGGGCAGCATATGATCTCTAAAGCTCCATACTGGCACCTGACATAGTGCCCAGCATGGAATGGATAGGGGTAATTCTTCTGGACATTGGGTGGGCACGACCTAAGCGAAGACAGCTGGCCCTGAACATTGGCCCGACTGTCTGGGGAAGTATAAGTTGTCTGGACTAGGACTTCCTCCCAGAACTGCACTCGATCAGAGCTGTGCACTTGACCACGGGGATAACAACTTCTTTGGGACACACTGAACGCCATCTGGGGTCCACAGCTTAGGATGGACATCCTACCATTGGTCGAGCACTGAACGTACTTTTCAGCATCGTAGGGATACAAGTAGATGCCGTTGATGTTACCAGGACAGGCATTGAGAATGAGAGCTAATAACGTATTATGATGAATTCTAGTGTACAGAGATGATAAAGTAACTTACAATACTCATAAGTGATTTGGGAGACAATCAATGTGACATAGTCAGCAAAGGCTAATTGTTGCTTAAGCTGACAGTAGCGCCTCGAAATGCTGAACACATAATTGGGTAGGCAGTTTTGCACAGCCACCTTACCGTCCTTACAGCTAAGGAACTTTGTTTGGTCAAAGGGGTGAACAAATTGGCCAACGGCTCCCACTGGACACATTAGGTAGTTAACCTGAATCTCAGCAGCCGCGAAGGAGGAAGCTGTTACAATTCAAAAGGATCAGGATTAGCGTATATCAAGTTAGCAAGGAGCAAGAAGCAAGAAGCAAGAAGCAAGCAAAGCATGAATAGCGTAATATGAGAAAATAACCCCAAATGGACAAGCAGATGGACCAAGCAAAGCCAAGCAGTACGGATAAGAAACTCAATGACACTTACAGGGGGTCCGAGGGGAGTCAGAATACACACATACCAAAGAGGAGCCATCGAAGATGTGACCCGGCGGACACTGTTCCACCTGAGGCCTAACACCAATTCCGCACCTCAAATACTTGTGCACGTCGTGAGGATGTGGACGAAGCCCACGTGTACCGGGTGGGCAGCCCAAGTCCTCCGAAGGCACCGCAGGGTAGCCTAACCGGGTGTTAGTCAAGGTTTTGCAACTTAAATCACTCATACGTACCGTGGCCAAAGTTATCATCTACTCCTGCTCCAGTTGCAGTTGCAGCTCCGCATTTGGCCAGATCCTTGTGCACACACACCAGCGATGCTGTACTAAAGGCAGTTCCTGGTGCGCAGTCCATAACAAAAGCCTGACCATTGGCGCAGTTAAGGAACTTGCTGCAGTCCGTTGGATGCGGTTTCAATCCATTCACTCCGGGCGGGCACTTGGGTTCACTATCCAAGTGCCTCAGTCTTCCCAGTCGCGTGGATGCGGGCTCCGGTGAAGAGCAAACCACATTGCTAGGGTGATCGCACACCTGGGTCCGGTCATTGAACAGAGTTCCGGGCGAACAGGTCTGAATGGTGGGGCTTCCATTAAAGCAGTTCACATAGCGATGACAGTCGTGGGGATATGCAACCAGACCCGTAAAATGCGGCGGGCACGCCGAATCCCGATGGTAAATTGGCTGTTGTTGGTCGCCTCCGTAGCTCGAGTACGCGTTCCCTGCTGCTGATAAGCCCACTGGTTCCGACTGCTCGCTCCGGTAGCCACTGCCTGATCGATAAGCTTTAGCCCCGGGTCGCTGTCGAAAGCGCAATTACGAAATATTATTGAGCAACCGAAGAAATTAGCTTGAAATTAAGTCCAATTAAAATTGAATTCTTAAGGTATTTTTACTTTGACTTCGAACCACATTTTTGTTTCACAAAAATCTTAATTTCGAAATAGTCTACAATCTGTATATTGTTCTTCAAAAAAAAGCAAGGTGAAATTATTAATAAACTTTCGATACTAACGTCCACTAGCAGGATCGCCAGCCAAAGGCCAAGGAGCCACTTGGCCATATTACGTTTCCGCTTTATAAGTATTTTTTTTTTTAATTTAAATATTGCACCAATGCTGATAGCAACAAGTCAATTGTTTTTCTCGCGCTTTTAATTTTTCGTTGTGATCCCGTCCGACTTCCAGGCTCGACTGACCCACACCCAGATCGCATTTCAATTCAATTGGACTCGGGATGAATCTCTATCTCAGCCGCCGCTGATAGATGCTCTCGTTTGTCGCCAAACCAATTGAGTGGACCACTATCAGGGCTTGTAATCTCAAGACACTTTTGCTGCCTTATCGCCGTTTTGTTTGCATTTCTTTTGGGGTTTTTCACTCATTTATTTACTTCTACGAATCTGGGATGATGTAGCTTAAGAATGATGATGATGATTTACAGTGGCGCAGTTGCTTTTAAGGGTTGTCTATATTTGTATATGTCACCCATAAACGAACTAAACGTCATACCCATATTAGGCTACATAGGTGATTAGGACTACGAGACTAGATCATTTGGCTGCCGGCTTATCAGCCGGTGGCCTCTCGGCAAGTCTTAGCCTCTGCTGTATTTTTAGCCAGAGCAGATCGTACGGCTCTCTGAGTTCCGTTTGTGTTTTGGGAATTCCCACAGAACGTCGCACTTCCGGCGAGAGGATCAGCAGATTTTGAGCAAGGCCAAAACTGCTGGAAGCTACCCAGTATACACATAAAGCTGAAGGCACAGTACACGCTACTGGAACCATCACCACACTCAATCCACGGAACACGTTGTTGGCGATGTTCTGCAAGCGCGTGGAAGGACGAGTTCTGGACATGGCTTGCACTTCAATGATGGCCAAGTTGATGAGGCCTAGTGCTACGGGCAGGATATAAGAGTGATCCACCACCGTGAGATTTGGTATCCAACCAAATCCTCCAATGGTCATTTCGGTGGTTACAATTTGGGCTTGAATGGACGTGGGATCCGGCAGCATGTACACTAAATTGCGCAGAGCCACGGACTGGAATATCCAGAGTGGAATCTGACCCCATAGCACAATCATGGTCTTCATGGGATGGCAGTTATCGCGAACTATAAGGTTCTGCCACTGCTTCTTGATCTGTAAGGTAATTGATATGAGGAGTGATTCGAGAATATTTTCATTTCAACAAACCGAACGCCGATAGACAATCAGAGTTTGCTGTTCGCTCCACTTGAACTTTCGCTTGGCCATGGCTGCCTCTTTTTTCAGTTCCTCCACAATGGCCGGCATCTCCAGCGCTATTTGCTCGATTCTGGCGGTGATTTTGTGCTGGTAAATGGTCAGCGGTAGGGTGACCACGCTCCGGAGAAGGAAAGTGGACAGCACGATGGATGCCCACCAGGGCAGACCGCTGTAGTCGTGGATCTTAATGAGTACATCCTGCATATAGGCCACTGGGGTGCTGTTGGACAAGGTCTGCCAATATCCCACTAATCCACCGGCATTTGCCAGTTGGACACTCGCGGCCGCCGCTTCCGTGGAGGCCAGTCGATGATTGTACGTGTGATTGGAAATAGTTGCTCCTTGGTAAGTGTACTTATAGGTGCAAGCAATTATTGGCTTCCTAAAGGTGCGCAATAGCAGCGGAGCTGCCATTATAAATTGATATAAAACCAATAATCAACGTAAACAACTAAAAAGAATCAGCAGTGCGTACTGTTATCATTACGAACAGCTGATTGTTACCATAACACGGCTTCAATCAGTGTGACCGTCGCCACGTTTTTAAGTAGCATTAACCCTTAACTGGCGCTGCAATTTTTTGCTGTCCAGATATAGAAAACATTGAAATGCAGTTATTCACTAGAATTAATTTAAGGGAATCCATTGATAAGAATACAACAAAAAATAAATGTATATTCGATACAATTCAGTAAAAAAAATTATTTGGTGTTATTCGAAAACCACACTTATAACTGCTTTTCTTTTTCAATCATTTTGAAATATAGAAATTTCTAATTATCTCGGCTTACTTAAAATGGCTAGACGTAGTTTAAGTGCACAATTTGTTTTTTAATAGAGGTTTTATTTCATACGCATATGCTTAAGATAAAATTGTGTTTGTATAATTATTTGTTTTCGCGGTCTTGGCATATTTGCAACATCGTGCGACGGTCACTCTAATTTGGCATTTTAAATCGTTCAGCTTACTCGGCTGCACTTGCAACTTTTCATTGTTTGAAACGCAATTAATATTTAAATCGAGTAATGAATTTTAGCCAACGCCAACCAGAATGGCACACAATACCATCGGTGGCACTAAATCACATATTCGACTATCTGGACGCCCAGGATCGTCGGTCTGCAGCGAGTGTATGTTTTTCCTGGAGACTTGCCTTCTTTCAAAAACGGTGAGTTGTCACTGTGTGGGTGTGTTTCCGTGTCCGTGTGTTTGTGTTTGTGGGTGTATGTGGCTGAAATGCTTAAATTCGGTGCTTATTGGGTATATTTCCTTTGTTATTATCCCATTTATTATATATATTATATTAATCAAGCGCAGAAAAACATCTGTGCTAGCAAGAACGAATCGTAGACCCCAAAAATGGTTTGTTGTTTCTTCGCATTTGGCAAGCTTTCAATGTGTGTGGCAAACAGCTCGGTTCGTTTGTTTATATTAGTGTTGAAAAAAGGGGAAAGTCCACGATAAGAGGAATTCCCCCTGCCAATAAATGCAATTAATTAAACTAATTGATGCGATAAGCGATGAGCTGTAAATTGCGATCTTAGCGATTGCGAGAAAGACACTTGTGTTCTTACCTACCTGTACTTTTCAATATTGATTCATTTATTTTATTTATAACGTTATTTTAATTAGTTATAATCAAAGGTAATTTAGTATTTACAAATATATGAAATTAATCAGTGCCTTCTTTTTTAACCCATCAGCTATTTTAGAAACTTTTGCTTTCAATTGGATGTGGGATGCGATGATCAGTTGGCCTTCTTCCATCGCTCCATGGCCAATTTGGCTAGGGAATTGATAGTAGTTTTTGACTTTCAAAATGCATTTCACATCCAGAAAATGCGACGACTTCTGTACAAGTAAGTTTGCTTTAAAAAACCCAAAGAGTACTAAACTTAACCATTTTCCCTCCCACAGAGTGGCGCGCTGTGATAATATCCAGAAATTGCGTTTCCAAACTCACAATGTGGGCCTCGTTGCCATCGGAAGCATGCACAGTGAGCACTTGTTGGCCATCGAACAGTATGTACTATTAGAGATGAATAGGTTCATTAGTAAAATATTTTGACCACCCAAACAGATGCTTTGTGGAGCCGCTGAATCTGTTTTTAAGCCGCAAGCGTCAGCCCTGCCAGCTTCTGGACCTTGGAGCCATCGAGGCCCTCTCATACTATGGCCATGATTTCCTAAAGGCTATGGGAAAACCACAGGAACTGCTGCAGCTGACGCTCGCAAGCATCAAATACGATCCTAGTCACTATCCCATTCTCACGCTGGACGCGACCCTGCTGCAGAAATGCGCCGCCCTGCAGGTGCTCTCCCTCGACTACGACACACTTTCCGACGAACTGCTGCACACTATCCAGGTGCTTCCGCTGCGGAAACTATTAATCGCTGTGCACGGCCTAGATAGCGAAGAGCATCCCGACGTGTCGGAGACGGCCTGGTCCCACTTTTCGGACCACTTTTCAAGCATTGAGTTGGTGCTGACCCTTGTGTATGCCTACGAGGCCATCGAACTACTGCAGCATCGTGTGCTGCGTAGCAATATGCCTGTTACTCATGTGCGACTGCTATTCTGCGAGCAGATGAACGCCGAAGCCTTGGACTGGATGTCGTTGCATCACAACGAAACGCTGCGCAGCATCCACTATGTGGACTCGGCGTACAAACATTCCAATCGCATGAACTACACTCGCCACGGTTTCTTGCGCCAGGACCCATTCGTTATGATGGCCTGGCGCTGCAAGCAACTGGAGGAGATCGTAGTGCACGGGTACTTGATGGATCCGCATAACCTCGTGGGCATCGCCCGCCTTAGGGGTCGGCAGCTAAAGCGTCTGGAAGTCTCCATGATCAATTGGTCAGGCGCTGCTTCGCTGAACGCCTATAATGAGGTGAGTTCTTTAAAACGTACTGTAACTAAATGAGTAACTTTATTGATTCTCTTGCAGGAGATAAGCACCTTACTGGGACAACAATGGTCACCCATCAGCCCTGACAAGATGCCGCCATCGCTGGCCTACGACTACGAGTTACGCGATCAGTTCGTGTACGAAATGCTGCGCCAGGATCTCAGCCAGTAAGTGGTCGAAATAGGAAATTACTCAAAAATAACCAAAAATTGAAGCAGTCATCAAGTGAACGAAAGAAATGCAAACATGACACGTGATCAACTCGAGCGCATAGAAATTAATTTATAAATTGCAAAACCTAATTACGTAGCTAAAACAAAACCCAAAATAATAATGTAAGCAAACAAGAAAATTTAACCTTCATAATAAGTTTTCAAAATTTGTATATGTAAACCAAACCTTTTGATTGGCATTGCATTTCATAGAAGTTAAATTTCCTAAGTTCTTAGCCTTTGTCGAAATCAAAATCGCGATTAGCCCTTGTTTATTAGTACAAAAGCGACAGATCAAGAGCGACAGGAATGTTAGGAGCAAAGCAAAAGACTTGAGCACTTCACAAATTTATGTAATTATGTAACGGGGCGAAATGAGTTTGTTGAAACCTGCTAGAGAAACATCATTTTATAAGCAACAACAACTGTGATTCAAACGAAATGCAAAAGCGAATGCAAATGCGAATGCAAATGCAAATGCAAGCCAGTGTGAGAAAGTGCTATACCAGCTCTCATACAAAACATAACAAAAACGACAAGAGCAAATTGTTGAGCGAATTGTCTAGTTAGCTAAGTTTAAAAGTAACAAAAAGTGTTGAAAATGTTTGTAAAACCAAAACTACGACCAATGTCAAATTGTTTGCTCAAAACGACGCAATTGGCACAAATTGTTAACCTTTGAAGTAGTGTGAATAAGTACAGAATCTGGCGCTCAATTGTGATAAACCAACAAACAACAACATAAGCAAATGTAACAACAACGAGAGCTAGATCCTCGTTCGCTAAGCGCCGCCATTTGTGTAGTTTAAAGTGATATTACCAGCAACAGCAAAGCAAATTGTAAGCAAATACAAAACACCACACAGATATATATGTATTGTAATAGCCAAATGGAGCTAAGGAAGTAGCTGTGTTGAGTGGTGCATGCGTTGTGGCCAGATAAACGGGCCAGAAAGCCAGGCAATTGTAAGACCCAAAATCCAACTTTTAAGTATTTCGTAGCACAGGCATTAATTATACAACTATGTACTATATTTAACCTATGTTTGCACAAAACAGCAGCGTGTTGTTACGAACCGCGGCTCATCCTCCCTAAATTTGCTTGCCGACCACCAAGTACAACAGCAATAATGACAGCATCAACATCAACAACAACAAAAATGGTACCTGAAGATCATGCCGAGCATTTAGAGAACAACCGAACAACAACCACAAAGTACTTGCTCAAATGTAACAATCTAAACAAACACAAAATCTATTGAAACAGAAGACTGAACGACAAAGAGGGTGTTGACCTTGTTGTCAGAGCAAAACGGAGGATGGCAATTGGTTTCTGGGACAAGTAACACAAGTAACAACCGCAAACAAAATGCGATCTCAAAGACAACTCTTACAACTATCCAATCGACCATCTATATTTGTATGTATGTATCTATATGTAACCAATGCATGTAATCATTTTTTATGAACTGCAATAGCGAATATTAATTTGTAAAACAAGTGCAAATCATGTGTAAAGCGATGCAAACTAGGAATGTTTGTCAAACAGCAACGCAACACGGCCACAGAAAAGTCAAATCACGAACAGTGTCTGGGGTCATTAAGAGATTGAAAATCCATGGCCTAAGTATGTTATCAGACCTGTTTTTATGTGGCTGTGCATTTAATTTAAGTCTAGTACGTACCAACACAACAACCAACACCAACAACAAATGTGATAAAAGTGTCATGCTGCTTCCACGAACAACAAAGTGTGCAAAATGCGACCTAAGATACTGCACTATTGAAGCAATGAGAACGGTAGTAAGCATTGGAAAGGCAGGGTATATTGGGTATATGGGCTCTATTTTATAGCACTCCGGTACACTAGCTTCTATAGTATTATTTTCCAAATTAACCGCCCAATTAAATGGCTATAAGGAAATTCGGAATCGCGTTCAAAAAGTATCACAGAAAATTGTTAAATGAATAGAAAAGAGTAACTCCCATATTGTTTATCAAGGAGTTACATTTTGTAAAAAGTGAAAAGTAAAGTGCCCTATACCATACCCTATAAAATAAAAGGGGCATTGAGCTATAAAATAGAGCTGGGACTGCAAAAGATCGTTAGCTCAATATCCAGCCCGAACTAATCGTCAATCAATGGATTCATTCAATTACAATCAACGTAAATGAAACAAGTATTAAGTTTTTTGGTTATACTAGAGTCACTTCCAACGCTGCTGTATATGAGTAACGTTCTTTTTGTATACTTACTACGAAACAAATATATTTTATATGCCATTTATTGTATTTAAATTCGAAGAGACCGAAAACCACTTTGTAAACCATTCCACAACCACAAGAAACCAATGCGATTTATGCTAACGTATGTACTGATCCAGGTGCAACACTACGGAAAGAGGGAAAAGACCAACCAAGTTTAAGATAAGTGTTGATCGTGAACAACAACAAGTCAGGGTGTTAATATATGTATATGTATATGTACTATGTAGGGTATGCTCGATGTCGAGATTCAGGGGAACAACAAGTGTGACATGGGCGAGGCGGAAAAGGAGGTAGAAAAGCAGGAAGACGATATGATACAGCGGTGCATTAACAACAATGTTTAAATGATATGTATATGCAAGTTATGCTTAAATGTTATAAGAACAAAAGTGAAGAAAGCTGTGATATAACAAGATCCAACAAAAGGGCAAACGACAACCGACAACACACAATGATAACACCAACACATTAAACTACAAAAACAAGATACAAGCCAATTCGAAACGTGTGCGACCAACAAAAGTATGTTAACAACCTTCCCGAAACTGAGAACCAGGAGAAGGACCATCTGAAATGGCCAACGATATGAATTCGAAGTGAATTATAGAAGATTGGATCAGATCCAGCAGTAGCTAGCCTAGCGGGTTAACGAAGGACGAACAGGGGAACCAAAGTTTAGAGCCGAAGTGTTTGAGTGAATCAACAGCGTGCGGAATAAGATTGATATTCCAGTCAGGAAGGAAAGCGAAGAGATTTAAGATGATTCAAATGTTAAATTATATATCGATATGTAGTGAAACACACATAAGAAATGCACATAGCTTAAATATATACGAAAGCAAACATTTTATTTAAAGTCAATTTCCATTTGATTTGCCATGATTATGTTTTGTGCGAGATTTTAAAGCTTAATCAATCGAGGCCAACGACAGTTTGTGTGGCATATGCAATATCATTACCAAGTAAGACAACCAACAAATATAAACCAATTAAAGCGTAGCAAACAAAATGCATTCAATTGAAAAACCAATAAAAACGTTTCAAACTTAAATCCAACTTGTGTTCTAAACTATTTAAGGAGGAGGGGCTCCACTTGTTTATTGCCTCTAATCCTTCCCAAGGGTGTAGAGCTTTATTTTCGTTGCATACTTTGTGGGCGGCGCTATGCAATAGGCCACTGTAGGCACAAGGTAGCCGATTAAAAGTACATAATTCGATATAATAAAAACTTAATGTCAACAAAAACAGAACACACACACTCGCACGAACTTCCGCTGAGCAACGCAAGCGCTCCAGGATGTTGGGAGCTTTTCTCAGTCCTTGAACTTTTGACCTTGTTTCTGGTCGGAATGCTCGCTGCCGCGGTTATGTAAGCAGCTGCACGTATCATTATGCAACCTGGCCACGCATTGCATCTTGCGCGTTTCAGTGGCTCTCAAACTGCGGAGGCTTCGTCGAGCGATAAGAACCAATCATCATCACCTAGGCCAATTAAGTGGGCTTTGCCAAATAGATAGCGCTGTTGAATGAATGTCGTAATTATTATCTGGATTTTGTTGCCCACGACAGACAACCGGCGAAAGGCGTCAGCAGCGCTTTTTACACAAAATGTGATAGTTTTGGCCAGGGCCAAGCGCGGCAGTAAGCCATTTAAATAGTAAACGGCGACTGATAACGCCCATTGGCGAAGTGACTCGTCGTCCAGTGTGACAACAAACGATTTCAAATAGTTCTATTTAAAATGTTTCATTTATTGATTGGGCAGCCTTTTGGCCAGGTTCAGCTCGATTATCGACACATAGCGGTGGCATAGCGTAAGCCTATGAGTAACAATGCGAGCCGGAGAGTACGGAAATAAATATTGAACAGATGCACAGGGAAAAAAGATTGGGCACTTTCCTAGAAAGCCAATTGGAATATATAAATTTGAATATTTGCTAGAGTCCTCGACGAAATACGTTCCTTGCAGTAGTTAAATGTGAACCGTCACTGCTGAATAGTGCTTTAAGTCCTCCAGTTTTTCGAGTGTACCTGGCACAGAACCCGTGGGTTCGTTGGGGAATGAATCTCGTGAGAAAAGCTTCGTAGCAAGTGCAGCCACAGCTAGGAAACATTGGCGTCGGCGCTCTCCGTGCTCCCCATTCTCTTTTTGGGGCTCTCTCAGTTGGATGCCATCGTAGCCGTAGTCTCGTCGCTTTTGCCGCCAGTAGAGCAGTCGATTTTCGCACGGAGCACGACAGTCGAAATAAACTTGAAAGAAGCATTCAACAGCAGAAGAGTGCCAGTCGAGAGAAATTAATTTTGTACCTTTACTCAAAATCAAACAACACACAATCGCGACCAGTCCTCGATATTTGACCAGCTGTGAAGCATTTAAACGAAACGAACCTTTTGATACACGAAAAACCCGAACGGAAAACCCTCCGGAAAATCACTTGCAACCTTTTCTAGTCGTTTTCTTACCCAACACAGGCGCAAAAGGTGAGTGCACGCAGAAGGGGTCACGCTGCAAGTCCCCAGTTGTTTGTTATGTGTGGCACGCTGCAACAGTGAGTGAGTGCCGTGGAAAATGTGTCTTCTTACCAGCCACCCGCTTTCCACGCCCCATCCACCCACTCATTCGTTGGGTGTGCGATGTGACGTAACAGTCAGAGTCTGAGTGTGCTATTACCATCGCAGATTGCTCATACGCCGCGTGTGCAAAAGAAAACAAACGCCGACGGAGCTTCATGGTGAATTTTGGCGATTTTGTTTGCCTCTGCTCAAATCCGAGGGATAAACAAAGCTCAGGGGTCTCTGCAAACAGCGCGAAAAATACTCATAATTAATTGATCGATGGCAGCATTATCTAAATTTAGAAGCCTTTCGTCCACTGGGCGCCATCCGGTGCACAAAAAGTTCCCCTTTTCCGACTTGATCTGCAGCGCACAGAGGAAAATTTGTACATTTTGTATTACAGGTGCTTCTATTAGTAATTTTTTAATTGGGGCCAAAAAGTAGTTTGATGCAAATTTCAATAAAGCTGGCATAGATGAGTTTATTTTGGCGGGCATTAAATTGAAATTCAACAACTAAAAATCCATTTTTTTTTTAAAATATTGTTTTGACTGTTTTCCTATCTATGGCGTTTTTTTCTGTGTACTGTGTCCCATTTCTGGCCGATTGCCCAAAAGTCTCGACTTCACGTGCCTTGGCGCTCAGCGTTCTGCGAATTTGGCATTCTGCATTTTGCATTCGCAAATCCATGCGCGCTTTGTTTATAAATAAACCTTGAATAATGCCGGCATATTTACACTGCTGTTTTTTTATCTGTGTGTCTCGGGTCTTAATTGAGCTCTGACTCTCTAGAACTTAAATTTCTGATGAGCTCCTCGCTCGATTGAGTTTTTTGCATTGCATGGCGGCAACGTCATTTGTTGCGCCTTTCGAGGTCGCTGGGTGATTCAGATTCAGTGTCAGTTCAACAAGTGCATGTGGTGTGGAAATTGCCATTTATAGTGCAATTTATTCGTATACATTAGCGGCCAAATTGCTTTGAAAATCAATTAACTATTTACTCATTCGATTTTCTCTTAATTTCAGCTAATACAAAATGTTTGCTTTGTGGTATTTAACTTTTGCTGTCGACGAAATACGGTAAGTGCAAGGGGGTTTTCTACAGTTTGGCAAGCACTGCTGTGCCACAGGGCGGATGCGCGTTTTGTGTTGCCTACTTTTCGGCTGGTCAATGTTTACCTAGTATTGTACTTTGGGGGCGTGATGAGATCCTTTTTGGGGTTAAGTTTTAAAAAATCGTTACCTAATATATTAAACAAGATTTTCGTCATAAGTGCAGTGTTTAGTATGTGATTCGAGCTTTGGGGTTTTGGATTATAAATAGGTTTCTGCACTGAAGAAGAATTCACACAAATACAGCTTTTAATGGCTGTAAATACTTAATAAAAATGCCTTTACCAAGAAAAGCAACATTCTTGCATTTCATAAATCTTAGCGATAGCAATTGTCGCACTTTTGGCACGCAATCATTGCAAAACCGATAATCTAATCGCTATCAGTTGGTGACTTAGCCAATCTATCTCTCTATTACCGTGATCGTTACGGCTTGAAGGTGCTAATGCGACTGTGTGTATTTCCCTGCATTTGGCACCAAGTTAGTCACCAAGCGATGTCACATGATGAGCTATCTGCCCGTTTTCCAATCTCCTACTCCCCCGATCTCGTCGAACACGCTCCATAACAACCGGCTTTTGTGGCTCTAACTCTCATTCGTGATAAGTGCAATCGGCTGATCACACACACACACATTTAAACACCCTCTCATTTGCACATGTGCGAAACCAAATTCGCAATTTTTTGGCAAAAAAGAGAAAAACGCTTGCGTCCAGTTGTTATCTGCCGGCAATTAGCGTAATAACGGAAGTGATAATTGAAGTTGGAGCGGTATTCGTTTTTTCGGTTCTCATCCACACAGCCGGCGTTTTGGCCCGGTATTTTGCCAAATTGTTGGTTTTGGTGCCGGGTGTTGGAGCAGCTCATTTGTTTGCTTATCTATTTGCCGCACGAGTTTTACGCCAGCTATTGCCGACTTGGCCTACGTGACAAGAGAAATGACGACGCCTACTCAAAGAAATGGGGGAGTGGAGAAAGTAGTTTCGTAACTCAAGCGGACAAGTGGGTGGGAAATAAGAATTTGTGCTTACAGTTCTGAATTACCGCCATTTGCGTGCATTAAAGCACTGAAACATTTTCGTCCAGGGCACACGCCCACCAATAGGCTAACGCCTAAGGCAAAATAAAATAAATAACTGGCTCTATTTTGTTGTATTATATGGGATATTATTCAAGAACTATGGCTTACTCTTTAATAAAAGCTAGGAAGTGCAAAAAAAGGTACCTTACCTTTTTACTTTTGAAATTTAAACCAATATCAAAAACCAGGGCTGCCGTACCTCCTTCCAGTTTGACTCCACCTTCTACAATCCTGCACTTCATTTTAAACATATCAAAAGGCATATGCCTGAAGCAATGCTACATATTTAAAAATCGTTATTTACGCTTGAGATGCATTTTTTAATTATTTGTATAGACTTTTAAAAATAGTTATTTTCAAAAGGAATACTGCAATGATTAACAGGGTTGTCATAGTATTCAACGCATTTGGGAGTGGTCACACTGCTTGTCACTTTGCATTGTCCCTTTTACTCTTGTCATTTGGCGAATTAGGACGCATAGATCGCGAATGAACTTAATTTTCGCCAAAATAGCCTTGTTTTCTATAAAACCAATAGTTATTCAGTGGATTTCAACGGTGGGCGGTGCCTATAGTTAAAGGTGGGTAATGTATTCGTTGAAAAATAAGGCTAAACGTTAATTTGCTTGTTTCGCGCTTCGCTGCGTTTTTTCTGGAACTTTCTGGTAACTGCAGTGAAAAAAGATGCTACAGTAGTCATTGCTTACACGCACTTCAAGCTCATGTGATATAAGAATATATATGGCGATAAATGTAAATAATCTTATGCGAACGGAAATATTCTTATCATCGCATTTTTGCCAATTTGTCTACATTTTATTTTATTTGCAGTGCACTTTAGTTTTTAGATTCCCTAGTTCGATTTTTATTTATTCTTTTTTGTTTTTTGTCATTTTCCTTTTTATTTGTAGCAAACGTTTAGCTTGGTTATTTAGTTCTAACAAGCCCGCAGCGCCAGCGCTCGACAACAAGCCAGCGAATCCAGCTCCCGCCAAGGAATCCGCACCAGCTCCTGCACCTGCACCTGCTCCAGCTCCAAAGCCTGCTGTAGTACCTGCTCCAAAACCAGAACCTCCGAAGCCAGCGCCAGTGGTAGCCAAGCCCACGCCGGTTCCAGTTCCTGCCACAGCTCCCGCTGCTCCGAAGGAAGAACCCGCTCCAAAGCCCAAACCTGAACCTGTGCCCGCACCCGTAGTTGCCCCGCCCAAACCAACTCCTCCACCAGCCAAGCCGAGCAGTCCGCCCAAACAAGCCGACAAGATGCCTATTCCATTGCCAAAATCCTTGACAGAGGCCAATACCAATGGCCAAAATGGCAATGCAGCCAATGGCGGAAATGTGGATGAGCGGGCCTTCGCTGGCCAGCAGGCCGAGAAGGTGCTCCCAGCGGCCAAGGAGGCCAGCAATGACTTCATCAAGGGCGAGACCAATGCCTTCATCCAGTCGATTAAGGAGGCTCAACAGCTGGGCGAGCGGTAAGCTTTAAATCCTTTCCTTTTATGTTGTGTTTATTTATATCTTTAGTTTTAAAACCCCTAGATGCTTTTTCTAACCGAGAGAGTTTGAATTAGTTGGTATCTCCTTTTTTCGCGCACTTCGTTACAACATTCTTCTGTTATTTCCGAAAAATATGTATTTTTAAATTTCATTTTTCCTCATCTCCCATGGCGCGAAGTGGGTTCAATGCACTCTGGTGACTTCTCGGCGAAAATAGTTGCCATGCAGCAGAAAGTCAACCGCTTGGCGACAACAGTGCTGCAGCATCAGCAAATTCGTTGGATCACCATGATGATGGTGCTGGTGATGATGATTATGATGACGGCTATGGGTGGAGACCACAATTTGCTGTTATTTTTGTCTCATGTTCTCTGCTTGGGCGGACAGCTCGGCTCACATGGCGTCGAGTCTTTGGGATCTTGTGCTGGTGCTGCATGTGCAGTCTACGTTTTATTTATGAACCCGAACTTTGCCATGTGCTGTTCTCCACTTCCACTAATTTCTAATCGTGCACAATTGATTTCCCATTAATATTAATCGAAGACAAACCTTGGCGCACGCAAGCCCTGTCCAGTTGTCCATGCCCAGGTGTTCAAGGATCTCTGGCTGAACAGCTCGGCAGGTTCATTGGTTTTTGGCAAACTGCCCATGTGAAATGGAAATGGAATTGCTGATGATGTGCCGGTGCCGGGCCATTATGAGACCTGTCGCGTCGCCGTTGTCAGGTCACATGATCTCCCCCATGCAAAGTTTATTTATATTTGGAAACGCAGCCGAATGTGGCTGCTGTGCCGCCACAATGTTGTACACACATTCCCTTACGGTTTCATTGTTCATGTGCAGCAAATTAGCCCGCCAGCGGCAATATTTGCCTCCTGCTGCGAAGGGATCCCATTTTAGCCTGGCGTCATGCCTCATATCTGAACCGCTTTTGGGGCCTCCTTCGTAATGCCCGCTCGTTCTGATGGACATAGGTCTTCATTTAGGTGTCTTGTTTGATGTACCCCTATATCCCCATATATATATGTATGTGCCCATTTTACATATGTACGGATATATATTTTAAGCACTTGGCTCGCGTCTGTGCAAAAAATTGCTTTTGGCAAGCGTCGCTTTTGATGTTGTGCCAAAATATTGTTTAGCAAACAAAAGGCGAGAGTCGAAAACACGGTTGCAAAGCTGACAGCGCGAGCAAAGCTTTCAGCATATATGCGTTTACATTCTATATCTACATATGATCTGTTGCAATCCGCGGATAATTAGCTACTGCTAGCAGCTAGCTCCTCCTCTATTTCAAATTCAAGCAGTAATTTCACAGCTAATTGCCCGGCTAGCTGGCAACAGGCATTAAGTTGGACTCGTGCCTGGCTGGCCGCAAATTGAACTAATTAATAATACATATTTCAAATGGCTTACTAATTTTTGGCTTTCGTTTTTGCAGCCGCCGAACATTTTAGCGCTCGATTCTCGATCGATGGGAAGCAATCAGTCAATGACTAAAAGTTTCTATAAACATTACCCACCATTCATACATACGTTCGCGAATGTTATGCAAGATTTTCCGATTCGTCAGCCGTTCGGATAGAAATCGCGGTCGCTTAGTTGTAAGCCACCGCATCTGGAGAATCTATCGGAACTTAGCTCATCGTAGACTTCTCACTTGTAACCCCTGGCTCAATACTAAGCTCTGGAAAAGATACATTCACAGTGGCGGGTGCAATTATAGATCAAAGTATTATACCACCTCTTATAAAAGTATTTATACCACCTCTGGCGGAGTATATATTATCGATTTTGAGTTCTATCATGTGTTTAGTCTCAAATATTTAACCATTTCGCTTCACTTACTCAATCGTATTGGCAATGGTCATTGGTATAACTATAATATTACTAACTGATATAGAGTCCACTTCCACTTTTGATGGACATATCTATAAATGTGACCCGCTCTGTGCGTTCTACACCCCACCATGCTAAGTGCTTTCTCAACTGTGTGTCAACAGTAACGAAACCGCCAGTGGCTGACATTGTATCTACATATCCGCGAGCTTGTTTCGCAAGCTTTTCAAGGTCAGCCCAGTATAGTATATGCCATTTCGCTTTTCCCCCACTTGTTAGTGGGGTTTTGGGTCCATTGTTCTCTGCGAAATCCTACACGGCACCAGCCCCCAAAGGCTGACTGCCAGCTGGCTGATTCGCTTTTTGGTTGGTTCGCTGTTGGTTATAGGAATCGTGTTGGTAGGGAAAAGCTGCTGGGCGCATTTACGTAATCTCAGCGCCACTTGACGGCAGCAGCAATTGAAAATGGGAATGAAAACGAAAGCAGCAAAGCAAAGCAAAGTAAAAGCTGAAAATGCTCAAATTTTCCAAGGGACTGAGGTGGCGACATTTCTGGATTATATAAGCCTCCTGCTGTCGCATGGCATCCGATGAATATGTATCAAAAATTAATCTGCACATATTTTTGAAACGTATATATAATTTGATTGTTGGAACGGCGGTTTAATATGTATTTTTAATGGCAACCCGTGGAAAATTCGTGTGCCGATGAAGAGCAAAAGTTCGTTGTTTTTGAAAAACAACACGTAGATAGATGGGTTAGGTGGTATCGTATATATCGTGCGATGTTTGCTGCGCGTTGCATAAATTTCGTTGGCAAGTTTTCAAATATTTTTGCTCAGTTTTCATTTAGTAACAAATGAATATGTTCGCTTCGATGAGGCAACATATGTACCTTGAGCATATGTATAGGTTACCCAAAAGATTCTGATGTTTTGTGTGCGAATTCAAAATCAAGTTCAAGACTTTTGTTAAGGATTGTGTAAACGATTTTTGTTTATTTGCTTGAAAAGTGGGAGGGAAAACCTGCGGGGATTTGTATAAAATAGGTATTTGTTTAGCCAGACTGTAATGCATATTTTAGTTGGCATCTCTATCTGTACAATTTACCGAATCTCCCACAATTTTGAATTAATCTTTTACATTTAGCGGCACAACATTTTTCATTTTCTATGGCGGTATTAGTGCCAAAATTTATGACGGCTACTCTTGTTTGGTTTCTATCTGGCCAAAAACAACAGATTTTTATAGAAGGTGTACATATATAGCTTCATTTGTTTCAGTCAATTTTCTAGAAATATCACTTATCAAGTTATTTTATTATTTGTAGGTTTTTCTAATATAATACAATACATTATAAGAATCCTAATGATACCATTTTTCTGGTTGTATACGAATTCAAGCTTATGTTTTAGATTCTAAAAGGCATAGATCTGAAAAAAAATTTGTATCGAAAGAGTAAATATTTGTTAAGTTATGCAAATTCTGTCGCATTTTGTCATCTGCTTAGGCAATTGTCTTCTGCAAGTTCGTTTTGGTTGTTTATTCATCACTTTAAGCTCGGATCTTGTGAGTGGAGCTCCACTCCGAGTATTTGAGGTTCTCATGGAGGGAGCGACTGTTTGCTGGTGCAATTGTGCCACTTGCCTTGATTACTTTCATCGCCCAACATCGTGCCACATCATACCATAGTATCATTCCGTTCGCTGTCGGCGATGTCTAGTCATAATTAAGCGATGAGACCGCTCCTTGGCGTGCGGTTGTGTGAGTGCGTGTGGCACACACCCATCGAGTGCAGCGCACGCACACACTTAATAATTTTGATTTGCGGCTGCAAGAAGTCGGTGCTCCTCTCTCGACCCTCTCGCTCCCACAAACGCTGGGAGCAATGCAGTTTTCTAGCTGTTTGCGAAGCGAACACTTTCCTTTTCTTTCTCTGGGGGCAGGCAAGCTTTCATTCCTTGTGTGCATGTGTGTGCGAGAGAGCTTTACTTTGCTGCTTTTCAGTCGTACGTCACGTCCTACGTCAGTCGTCGGCGCTTACCAATACTAAGGCACACTTCCTGTGGGTACACAGGGAAAAATACTGGTTCAGTTTTTAATTTTTATTGGCTGAAAGGTTTTATTGCTCAGTTCAAATTCTTTTAGTTCCAACTAATAATTCCATAATTCCTAAGAAAATTACTAACTTACATAATAAGTTTGTGAATTGTTCTCCATGGGCGTTCGATTAGTGATATACATATCATGTCGATTTAGTTTCAAGCTTTTTGCGCAGTGCACGCCACAGTGCCGGCAGAGCAGCCAGGAGGCAGGCTTCCTCCGCACACAAACACAGATAGGGGCCGCAGCTTTTGCGCTCTCTGACTGTTGTATCTGTGTGAGAGTGCTCGTGTTCGTGTAGTTTGAAAGTGAAAGAAAGAAGGGTGGCCTCTGCCGCAGTCGCAGTCGCTGGCGCTGCCGGCGCTGGCGCTGCTGAAGCACCGACTGCAGTCAGTTGGGTTAAAGAACAGAATATTCCGATCATTGTAACGTTGGACGTTGAATTCTACGGTTGCAAAGGTGAGCCGTCCTCCAAAGATAATTTTTGCAAATCAAGTGAAAATTTCAGGCGTTCAAGTATCTCACAGATACAGTGTCGATATCTTAGATTTTAATCTTTAAATTAACCGTTTTGTGGCACCCAAAAGTTAAAGGCAATCGTAAGAAGTGAATTCTGGTTACATTTCATTTCTAATTATATAAAGTGAACTACCATTAGAATTGAATTTTCACGGGTTTGTGGCAAATGAAAATAAAATTTCAACAATTCGGCTTTTTAAACAGTGAACGGCTCTTAAATTGCAATAATTTTTAAAGAGTTTGTAAACATTTTTGCGGTAATTAGCCAATAAATGCAGTGAATTGCTTTAGATTTGTATATTTAGTGGCCATTAAATGCTGTGTTCAGATTTGAAATACAATTTCATTTACTTGGGCGTCTGCAAATATATGGCAAACAATTTGTGGAATTCTTATAAAAATTCTTATGAAATTCTTAATCGGAAAGAAAACTTTTGGTTGTAGAAAATAAAAAGAGGGGTGCAAATAAATTTTGTGATAGCCTTTCAGTGCTGAATATATAGTTTTCTAATTATCTTAAACCAATTAA